CTTTCAGGTATGGACATGGTTATGAAATGTTCTGCGTGGCTTCTAACAATGCAAGAACTGTTGTTGCCTCTGCGTGCAAGGTACTACAGTCATAGATCAAGACAGTATCTCATGCTTTCTAATGGCACCAATATCTATCAACACTTAAACTTTCTATTTGGATATCATTTGTGTCATAATACCAGAACACTTTATAAACATTTTTCCCTTAATATGCGCTACACATTTAGGAGTACAGTGAATCTGGCAGTTTTACAAACTGCTTTCTGTTCTTGTGTTTTAGTGGAATATTAGCATTTTGTTTGTGTACAATGTGAAAGACATATTGATTTTGTTTTAACAGTTTCTTTCCTGCTGTGATGTTCGGACCATTCAGAGGCATGGTGTTAAATGCTTGCTGCTTAATGGCATTTGAATCGAATTGGTTCATGTATTTCCGTATAATAAGTAACTGATTACACAGGGGGCAGCTATTGTGGAGTTTTTTTAGACCTGGGCAGTATTGTTTTTCATTGTTGGCCCAACTTGATAGAGAGAACCGAACTGTAATTAAACTCTTGGCTGCTTTGGCCCTTGTTGGAATACAGAGGAATAAAAACGGCAATTTCAGGGGAAGAAAGGAAGTAAAAAAGAACAGACAGTGGAGAGACCTTTAAATGTTTAAGGCTGCAGCCTTCTGTCAGCTGAAAGTGGGTCTTTCCTGACCTGAATTGTAGTTGATCCATACTGACACCATAGGGCATTATATTGTTGGGGCACATTCTTGGAGTCTGTCGTTGTTAACACTCTAGCAGCATATTAGACATGATAGGATAGCTTCTTGAACTCTAGAGGTTCAAAAACTGTATTTTTCTCATCTAAAATAATATGAAAGTATAAAGCTTTTTAACAACTGTAAAAGTTTCAGCTTGAATGCATCTTTTTTTTAAGAACTCAACATGTTTCATTAGGCTCTTCCTGCTCATCGAGAGAGCTTGATTTATTATTACAGGTGAAAAATAACTATCATTTTGAATGCATTCGTCAGTGGCTTGATTTATTTTAAGCTAAAAGTAGGTTTTCTGACTTGGTTAATATTATGTGAAATATGTTTCTGCATATTAAATAGACTGATTTACTCTGCAGTGATACTCATTAATTTTAAATTAAACCCCATATATTTCAGTAGTAGAAAACATTTCTGGTGTGGTGTTGAAGAGGTTTGTAATTCCATTTAAAAATGTATAAGCCTAAATCTGAAGAAGTTGGTGATGATGGATGGTTCTTACATTTTGTGTATTATATCTGGAATTCATTAAGCATTTGATGTAGTTATATTGCTTATGGTGCTTATTTATTTGTAAATTAATGTACAGATTTACATTGATTTATATGTGGAGATGTACTGCAAATATTGAAATATCACAATTCACCAACCGTCTTCTAACAGAAAGGGTAACATAGAAGTCGTCCAAGAAGTAACCAGGTTGGGCTCAGTGTGGTTGGGTGAATGCACAAGCTTGTTTAGCTTTCTCATTGATTCTCTACACAGAACGTTGTCAGTACTTTGAAAGTTCAGCAAGTTGAACATAAGGCTGGTTCATCCTCCTCTTGCAGGCCTCTAAGCCAGAGCACGCGGCCATCCTTCTGTGGAGCACTTCGAGCTGGAAGCAGCTGCTCAGTCTTCCCCTGCACAGCCTCACCGTCACTCAGATGGCCTTCTCCCCCGATAACCGGTTCCTGCTGGCTGTCTCCAGGGACAGAACATGGTCACTGTGGAGGCAGCAGGAGGACATCCACACTGATTCAGGTTAGCAAGGAATTTGGCTTTGAGGCAAGCATATCTGTAATATTTTAAGTGTGAATTTTAAGTTCATTTCAAGCAGTTTTTGGAAGATTGCTTCTCGTAGGCCTGCCTGTGTGTGTCGGGCGAGGGTGTAAGAATGTCCATACCGTTCAAAGGAGAGGAGGCCATTCAGCCTATCATGGCGAATTTGGAATGCACTAGCCAAGTGGAAATTGTTTAGCTGCTTGTTGCCCAGGGTTTGTGCTTCAGCCATCTTGTCCACAAACCTATAGTTTCCTTTCTTGTTGTTATACTATTTCCTTGTGTCACTGCTGAATGTGAAGTAATCCTTTGTGTTCACCTTAGCTATAGGTAGATACTTTATTAATAATAATCAAATTAATACTTTATTAACTATACCCATTAAGACTGTATATTGTAACGCATACGGCCTCTATTGCTTGTGAGAGCCGGCTTACCAGTGCGGTGACGTCACCGCCCTTCCCTGTGGATAGCAGGGACCGCAGCTGCCGGGCTGACGGGAGATTTCCCTTTGGCTCAAGAGAAGCTGGGTCCCTGTTGAGTGACGCCGGAGGCCTGGGTTCGAGTCCCCGGCGGTGGGGGGCCGGCCTGATGCGGCAGCGGCGAGGGCGCCCACGTCAACCCCGTAGCGTTACAATATATAAATAAGGGAAACTTCCTGTGTTTTAATACATTATGTAATAATACTGTGCTGCCACCGAAAGACTGAGAGAAAAATCCACTTGTTGAGCTCTGGCTGTCAGCCAGGAGACAGGCAGTCAGACTGAGAAGGGGAAACTGGGGCTTGGTGAAACGGGCCGAAGTCGAGTTGAGAAGGAAAGACTGCAACACAAGGGAGTATCCAAAGCAAAGCTGAGAAACCAGGCAAGGTTGACAAACACAGTGGGTCGTCTGAGGTGAAATCCAAAATACAGTGTCGAAAACCAGAAGTTCAATACTAGAACCCGGGAGAGAAAGAGAGCCATGTTTAAAACAAAGAGAGTTCAAATCCAGGGAATCAAAAAGAGTACTAGGAAACACCAGGACTTGAGAAGCATTGACTGTACACTAAGTGAGAGAAACGTGAAGACTGAAATACCTAGTGACAATAGGATAAGTCGAGTTAATTGGAGGCAGGTGGCACAGATAAACTACCAAATCAAGTTCGGATGGAACTGGTGTTTGAGTCTGTGTGTGGAAGCAGTCGGTTGCCGTACTGATCTAGGGCCTAAATTATGTGGCATGGTGTCCGAATGTAAACCTGACATTTTAATTAAGCCTTTAATGGTCCATTGCAATTTTCGTGTATAAGCCGTGGGTTTCACGCTTCTTGCTATATTCTGTTTGATTTTATATCCTGTTAGCATTCTGTTTGATTTTGTTTCCCCATAATGTCTTGAAAAGGCTATAAAAACACTAAACACCTCATTCCCTTTTTATGTAAAGCTTCCTGTGGCTCAGAATCACCCATGCAATTTATGGTCCCACTACACAGTTGCAGCCTCTACATCCTATGTAGATCACCCTGTACCTACTGTAGCAATATTAGATATTTGCCAACTGTCTGCCCAATCCATGATTTGTAACTTTAGCTAGTATGCTTACTACATCAGAATCTGAGTCATTTCTATGCATCAGGAACTTTAGCTGGCTTGTGCGACATACCACTGTTTATATCCATCCAATTAGAGGTTATAGCCCTTAGGATAACCTGTTTCCTGTTTGTTAATCAGCTCACAATCCATGTCGATACCCTGTCTTGAATTTCTACAGCTTTTAATTTGAGAAATAACCTTTTCAGTGGAACCACATCAAAAGCTTTCAAGAAACATAAATATATAATGTAGTATATTTAAATGTTCTCTAGTGTTTTAGTGTTGTCTTTGTTGTGTGTTTGAATAACTAAGTTCAATTACCTTCCCTTTCTAAATTCATTCATCAGTTTTATGAAAATTATATAGTTTAGCTCATACTTTTGTTTCCATAAATGTACCAGTAAATAAAGTAAGGCTGACTGATTAGTTTGTACTTTTCTGGTTCAGTTTTGTGAACGCTTTTAATGAATTCATATTATGTTTGCAGTTCACAAATCTGTGAATATAGCTCCCACTCTTTGTGAGGATTAAAATATTCTAGCTAAGAGTCTATAAATAAGGTCCATTATTTTATGATGTTTTTCTGGGGATGATACCATTAGGCCCCAGCGACTTATTAGTTTTATGCTTAGTGTCGCTTGTAACAAAGAAAATACCCGATACCAATAAAACTCTGTCTATAACATAGAATATGTTATGGATGTGTTCTGTTGTAAAAACCTGTGTGAAATATTAATTTAGCAGGTGTGGCAGTTACTATTATTAAATCCCTATTATCATATAAACTGTTTGATGTTAACTTTTTTCCTCCATTGCAGCAGTCTGTAGCTCTGGTGTATATTTTACAGCTGTGCTTATAGCTCTGGTCACTTTTTCCATATTAGGATGTTTGCCCACTTTACTTAATATGTAGTTTTCTCTTTTTACCTATTACTTCTCCATTAAACCATGAAGGCCATACTGTGCAGTCAATAGGATTTGAAATAAATTAATGACTATGAGGTTAAAGCTCGGAGTGTCAGCTTTAATTCGAGGGTATTTACGTCTATATTGGGTGAACCATATAGGACTCACAGACCTTTTTATACATAGTCCTCCCATTTTAGGGGACCAAAAGTAATTGGACAATTGGCTGCTCAGTTGTTTCTTGGCCAGCTGTGCTTTGTTGCATCGTTGGTTCATGCACAAGAGAGTTAAGAAAAGGTCTGGAGTTGATTCTAGATGTGGCATTTGCATATGGAGTCTATTGCTGTTGTCTCTCAACATGAGGACCAAAGAAGTGGCAATACCAGTTAAGCGGGCCATCATGAGGCTGAAAAATCAGAATACATTTCTCAGAGACATAGCCAAAACATTAGGTGTGTCAAAATTAAAAGAACGCACTGGTGAGCTTAACAATAGCAAGCAACCTGGTAGACCACGGAAGACCACAGTAGTGGATGACAGAAGAATACTTTCAATTGTGAAGAAAAAGCCCTTTTCGACTATTGAAGAGATCAAGAACACTCTCCAGGATGTAGGCATAGATGTGTTAAAAACTACCATAAAGAGAAGAATACACCAGCATAACCTCAGAGGGTTCACCACAAGATGCAAACCACTGGTAAGTCTCAAGAACAGAAAAGCCAGGTTACAGTTGGCTAAAAAGTACCTGTGGAGTTCTGGGACAAAGTCTTATGGACAGATGAGACGAAGATTAACCTGCACAAGAGTGATGGAAAGAGGAAAGTGTGGAGAAAAAAAGGAACTGCTCATGATTCAAAGCATACTACCTCATCTGTAAAACATGGTGGAGGTAGTGTCATGGGTTGGGCATGTATGGCTGCCAGTGGAACTGGCTCACTTGTCTTTATTGATGATGTTGCTGCCGACAGCAGCAGCGGGATGAATTCTGAAGTGTACAGAAGCATCTTACCTGCTCAGATCCAACCAAATGCTTCAAAACTCATAGGACGGCGCTTCACCTTGCAGCAGGACAATGACCCCAGACATACTGCTAAAGCAACTATGGAGTTTTTCAGGGCCCAAAAAGTGGAATGTTCTTGACTGGCCAAGTCAATCACCTGATCACTCAATCATCCTATTGAGCATGCGTTTCACTTACTGAAGACAAAGACTGAAGGCAAAAAGCCCTCAAAACAAGCAGGAACTAAAAATAACTGCATTACACACCTGGAAGAGCAGGCCAGGGAAGATACCTAGCGTCTGGTGATGTCTAGAGGTCGCAGTCTTCAGGCAGTCATCAATTGCAAAGGATTTACACCCAAGTACTAAACATGACGATTTTATTTAAGATTATGTTAATGTGTTCAATTACTTTTGGTCCCTTGAAATGGGGGGGGGTATGTATAATGAGGGCTGTGATTCCTGTATGGTTCCCCCCATATAGACGTAAATACCCTCGAATTAAACTTTAATTTAAAGCTGACATTTTTCACTTAAACCTCATAGTCATTGTTTCATTTCAAATCCAATGTGCTGGAGTATGGAGCCAAAACAACAAAAATTGTGTCACTGTCCAAATACTTATTTGTTTCAGCATTTCATTTGTTTTGAACCTTTGACTTTTTTCTACATTTATTAAGCGTCATTATTATATTAGCTCTCGGGATTTCTGTCCACCTGTCGTTCCTTGTAAGCTGTATTTCCTATCTTCAAAGTAAGCTTTTCAAAAATTTTAAAAACTAATTTTAGACTCTTTTCTAAAGCTTAAAGGTATGCATTAAAAGTAATAATAAAGAGTTACTGTATTATTGATACGGTTCTTTCTCATCTATTCATATAATTAAATCATGGTTGTTTAAAAAAGGCTAGGTCGATAAGAGCATATTCCCAAAACTTTGTGTTTACAAAGTGATTAAAAAGGCAAGCTTTTAACCATTTCCATCAAACAAACTTCATTTTCTCTATTCATTGTTATAATATCCTGATTTATGCATAGATAATTGAATCTCTGCATACAACATCCTACATGGGTGACCAGGTTTAATGTTCTTAGTGAGGAAAATGAGGATTTTTCATAAAATATCCTAAAATGCAACCGCTCCTAAATTCTAACAGTGGCATAAGGACCTGAAAATGCACAACAGACCCTCCTCCATTTCTCATAGAAGAGATTGCATTCTTTTTCCACATTTTTGCTTAGCTGATTTAGATTCTGAAACATGATTAGAGTTCAATCTGAATTGACTCAAAGGCCCTATTTCTTCAAGACAAAAATGTATCTCACGTCAGCCCTGTACTTTCTCTTCATGAAGCAAACCTTGCAAAATATATTCCCAATGAGTGGCATGTCTTTATATTTCTTTCTGCTGAACTGGTTCAGACCAGCTGATCTGTAATTGAACTGCTGAACTTTACAGCTTCTGAATGAAGTCTCTACCTTTAGTCCTTAAGCTTGTTGGGATTTGGACAATCCTTCATTGCACAGTAGATCTTCTAGTGCACAATAACTCCTGGAAAATTTGTCTTCATATTAAAGGTTGTGTTTTCAGTGAGAACTGGAGAAATTTTGTTTGATGAGGTTTTTCAAAAGGCCCTTAGGGTTTGTGATTCTGTGCTGTACTAATCATGTATGTTTCTTTTTTGTTAATGGGTTTTATGTATTATGTATTATGTATTGTGTTATGTCATTTACCTGCCTGCAAAGCAAATTTCCCATATGGGACAATAAAGAAAGTAAATGATTTAGCAGTGTAGAAACAATAGCAATGTTAATTTAGGCAATCCCCCCTGGTCTTCTGAATTCAAGGAGTCTAGAATCATGTTGTTTTCGATGTTTGTAAAAAAAAAACGCTTTCAGTCTGTATTATGCTGAGACACAACTGATATGTAACCTTATTTCACCTCATTGTGTGATTATCATTCCAAGAGAATGAAATTGAACAGGTTCACAGACACTTTCTGACCCTTAAGTAGTGCTCCATATTGTACAGCATGCTTGAGGTTTCACTAGATGAATGGTCACTGAGTGTACAATATATTACAAACTTCCCTGGGGTTTCAGAGACCAGGCATGTCCGGGCTGTTGTAGCTGCAGGAGGTGACCCACCTCGGCACCTGTGAAAATGGCAGTATAGAGCTCATCCAGCTGTGAGCTCCAGCTTCAGCAGCTCTGTCGGTATCAGTTTAAGACATCTCAGGGGATGTTGTAAGAAATAAGCATTCGCTGTCATTGATGTTTCATTATCGACCTTTCTTTTCAGGATCTCCAAGTGATGTAATAACATTTGATCATCTTTAGCAATGTGCACTTGCCAGGGGTGCATTTCGGACACTAAAGACACTTGTTCTTTCTTAATGTCTGAATGCCTGAGCTTTGTGACTCCTCACACGGACACAGCCAATCTAATTATACAGCCTTTTGGCCAAAAGCTAGTCAAGTTCTTAGTAAAAATGAATGGGAACAATAGGGAACCCATCTATAAAGATAATTATATGGACTCTAAACAAGAATTTATTGTGCTCCTTCTCTGTTTTTGGAATGGGCAGTCACATCAAGGCCATGCTCTGTTATGCAGTTCGATCTTTCAGAAAGAGTGACTTTCCACAGCCTTAGAGATGAGAGGCACATACAGTGTTTAGTTCTCTGAATCAATTTAATTTGTCATCCAGAATACAAATTGTTGGAAAATGTTTTGATAGAGGTACAGTATATGAATCCTTAAAAGATATCGACATCTGTACAACTGATTAATGAATATTATTTTCATGTAATACCATCTCTCATGTGAGGGGTTCCTTCATTTTTGGAAATATTCTCATCTGTTCTTAGTCCTTTATTTCTTGTTTTTTTGCTTTATTATTTATTCAGTTAGAAATAGTTATTTTTCATACCTCTTTGATGTCTTTACTTTTAGTTTTTTTTTTTAATCTTGATGTTTAGCCTTACAAGATAGCTTTAAAGTAACAGTGGTCATTTTGAGAGATCTGATTTCAGTTAGAAATCCATGAAGAGCATAACTTGAGGCTCATTTTAAATTTGTTTCAAAGTATTGTATCATTTCAGTTTTGCTTTCTGTGATACTTTTAGACTGTACTGTACCACCCTGAACAGGTTAATAATGGTCTGTATTATATGCCATTACAATCTGTCTTGCTTTTGTTTTTTGTTTTTCCACAGAGCCTTGTTACACTCTGTATACACACACTCATAAGAATAACTCGGTCCACACTCGGATCATCTGGGCTTGCGACTGGAGCCCAGACAGCAAGTATTTTGTGACAGCAAGCAGAGATAAGAAGGTAACTTGGAAGAAAAAAAAAAGTCCATTGCTTATGAGATCAGCTGCAGGACCTAGCAATGACAATAGTTACCTACATAAAAACCCAAGTGTTGTTTTGATCCGCTCTTAAAATTGAATAATAGAACTTTAATAATAAAAAGAATTGCCATTGATGCAATCACTGTTAGAGGCAATACCAGCTGCATTATAAATGAGCAATTTGCTTTCAACTTGAGGGGGGTTGTTGCAACAGCCTGGTCATTGCTGATTTGAGTAACATCAGTCGGCAACAAAATGTGCAAGTTTTGTATCGATGTGGTCTGAATTTACACACTAGTTCAGCGCACCTTGGCCAGCAAGAGGTTTATGCTACGTTTAGTGTGTGTATCTGCGTTTAGATAGGGATGACATTCAGGCATATGGGCAATCATTGTGTTCTTTTGTCCACTGTTCATCTCCTTCATCTCCCATTGCCTCCCACTTGCTAAGTCAGTTAAACATCTTCATCTTAATCCATACTGTACCATTCATACTATGTACATATGGCTATATTGTGTAAAATCGTATAAAAACATAAGCTGTTTGAAAATCTTAATGTACAAAAAATAAAAGTCTATAATTAATAATCAGCAATATTCCTAAATAAGGAAAGAATATTTGTAATCATACATAAGAACCATTAAAATGACATTGAGACAAAATATATGCATGGTAAAGATGCATTTTACTGTTGTCCAATTGTATTATTGACATAGATATTATATGTTTGAGCTCTTGATGTGCAAGACAAATTCCCTTAGGGACAACAAAGATTATTTCAATTCAATGTATCTATTAGCACATCATTCAGTACCCACCACTAATGCCAGTCTTCCTTTTACATTTTACATGAAATTAATCAATATTAAACATTTTGTGTAAAAGAATGACTTTTAGTACAACTGTATAAACATTTCACATGAATACTTTGTGTAATAGTTTTTATTTGGGAGTTCAAGCCTGTAGGTAGAAGTCAACCCAGAATGCACCCCTCCCCTATTTGCATGCATTCTTATGGGGAAATTAGTCTTTAATCTTCATCTTCTTGAGTTGCTCCAGATCTTTCAGGAAGGAACCTGCCATGTAAATCAAAAACTACCTGCATATCCTTTAATTCATTGTTGTTAAGTGAAACATGCAGTATCGGAGATCCAAGTGATCAACATTGTTAGAATGTTAAAAAACGCCTCATACTCCTCATTTGAATTGATTTTGTTAGGCGTTTATATTTAGCAATGCCTCTATCAAACAGCTTTTGTTCACTTCAAAAGAACCTTCATTCTTTAACATACAGTGGGTTTCCGATCAATATGTATGCTAGAAACTAATGGATACAGTACTTGTACTCTTCCTGGTTCATCTCTGTCATCTATATAGCTCTGTGCAATACAGAGTATGCATACTAAAAATCAAAACCTTTTAAAAGAAGCTTTTAGTTTCTGGCATTAACTGCCTTTGTCACATTTTAGCATTAGTCCTATACTTTGTCTTAATCAGTCTTGAAGTAGCTTGATGTTTCTCTGCTGTGTGAACTTAAGACCTTTTCCATGTCTCTCATCTGACAGGTTATTATATGGGGAGAAGGCAGCTGTGATGAAAATGTAGAGAAAAACTGCCAACTAATGGTTTGTCCCCGGTCTTCAGTGTTGGATGTGGGGGATGCAGCCACTGCTGTCAGCTTTTGCCCTATGCAGTATCCAGATGGAAGGTACATTTCAAATGGCTGCAGTTTTGCTCACAGGCATTACACACCATTCAGTGTAATCTTTCAGTCTGGTAGTTTCTTGAGTTCTTCTTGAGTTTCTTGAATTCAGTAACCATTTTCTCTATCTTTATCAATGGAAGCCGCATTTAGTAAGGATACTTAGATCAATTTTTTACCATAGTTGTAAATAATAAAATTCTAAAAGTTGTTTTTGATAGATAAGAGTTATAATTGATAATTGTATTTGATGGCGAAGCTTCATCTCCCTTTTTCTAAGGCTGGGCAGACCAGATGAATGACGCCATTTCTGACTTTTTAAAACACAATTAGACGCAGGAGACATTTGTTAAGTGTGTGAAATATTGGGAGGGAGTTGTGTTGACAAAGTTGCAAGTTTTCTTGTTGTATTAACATGTCACAGAATTTGTGTTATTATAGTTATTATTATTCCGTATGACGTATTATATATGTATAATAATGCTGACAGGAAAATGGCGTTTTGAAGAATGCCGTCCCTACTAATAGATAATGAAATAAGTTAGGGATAGGAGCATGTTGTTCATAATTTTATGTCATTTCAATAATTTGGTATCTGGCTACAATAAAAATGGACATTTTGAGGTGTGATTACATTTGAACATTTTCTTTAAAATAAAAGGAATTTAGATATAGAGTAAGGATTGCTACTGATGATTTGCTGTATGCAACAGGAATATAGTATTGAAATAGTAAAGCATAATGTATCAGTTAAACGTTGTCAATGTTCAGTTTGGTCAGAAGTTAAATGCACAGTGTCTTTCAAAAGTATTCAGACCCTTGCACTGTTTTCACATATTTGTTGCTCTTAAAGCTTGTAGTCATGATGCTTTGAAGTAGAAATTATTGTTATATACAGAACCTATTCACACATTCAAAGCAAAAAAAAAAACAAAAAGAAAGAAGTAAACAAATTATTTAAGAGAAAAATGAAATAGTTAAAATTGCATAAGTATTCAAAACCTTTCCTGTGGCATAGTTAAATTAATTTAGGGGGACAAAAGTATCTTAGAGAGCCACACAATTATTTAAGTGGCCTCTGGGTGCAGTTGTAGTGGTTCATGTGATTTCAAAATAAATACACCTGTCTCTGTAACATCCCCCAGTTGGATAGCAAATCACTGTACAAGAAAAGATTCAAACATGGAGACTCAAGAATAAAGTTGTATAAATGCACAGATCAGAATTGTATTAAAAAAATCTTTGATCTTAGGAAAGTCGGTTATTAAGTAGTTGAAACCACCTGGATAGATCAGAATTTCCCTCCAAACTGAGCAGATTTACAAAGAGGGAACTGGTGAGGGATGCCACTCTGTAACAAAGAGTCACAGAGATCAGTGGTGGAGATAATAGAAAATGTCCACATTTTCTGGTGCTTGTATGGAACTGAAAATATACCATCTCAGATCCTGCTTGAAACGCAGAACTAAAGTGACACAGCGAACATGTTGAAAATGGTTTTGTGGTCAGACAAGACCAAATTTTGTTATAAAACCGAATTCGAAGCGTTACATCTGACACAAACCCAACAGAGAACCCCAGTCAATGACCTCCATTCCTACTCTCAAGTAGTGATGGTGACAGCATTAGCCTCTAGTTCTGCTTCTAACCAGCTGCGACTGGGAAGCCTGTCTAAACAGATGGAAAATCCAGAGGGAGTAAAGTACTAGCAAAATTTAGAAGATAACCTGCTTCAGACCAAAAACTGTGATAAAAATATCACCTTTCACCAAGGCAGTGAGCCAAAGCCATACTGGAATACCGTAAGAATAAGAAAGTAAATGTCCTTGACTGGCTTTGTGAAAGTCCTGACTTGAATCCTATTAAGAATCTGTGCAGAGACTTGAAAACTGCTCTCCATTGTCAATCCCCACAGAACAATCTTGTGCAAATGTGCCAGGAAGAATGAGCAAAACGTGCCTAGTTGGTAGAGATTTTCCAAAGGCTTCAACTATATATTGCGTTCACGGTTCTGAACACTTATGCAATCAACATTTTTGTTTTTTCCCATTTAGTTTTTGCTGAAATTTACTGTACCTTCACCATAAGTTCTCTGTTTGAGGATTCGGGTTTTGAATAACATATTGTTTACTTTATTTGGTAATTTAGGAAGAGTCTGTATGCTTTTTCAAGGCACTGTAGATAGTGATTTCTGTATGTAACCAAAATCTATTAATGCTTCTTTTGTCTTAGACCCAGTGTCTGTGGAAACTTAATTTACTCATCACGGTTTTGTCACTAAAATATTCATTTAAAAAGCATCAACTTCAGCAGATAAAATTTTAATGAGTTAAAGATTAACAGTGAAAGGTGTTTATTTTGTGTTGCTTTTCTCTGACAGAGGTTCACCAAAATGTTTTATTCTGTGAAGAGTTTGCTAAATGAAATTGCAAAGATACATGACGTATACAACCACACACCTGGTTTCATTTAAGTAATATAACCTAATTTATAGAGGAATTAAATGTAAAGGAAGTTTGAATTGGGTCACAGCGTGCCGTATTATAAAGAAGATGTATTTTTTAATCATAGCTCATTAATATGATAGATTGCATGCAAGTTTATAGACTTCAGAAAATAAGTAATACCCACAATTTATGGAAAAACATCTTTGAAAATATAAATCATCAGCATGTTTTGTTTTTAGCACAGTCTGTATAAGACACTGTTCCTCATAATATTCTGAATATTCAGAATGAAACATTATTTTAAGGCACGTTTTTAGTGCATCTTCTTGTATTTTTCATTAAGATAAGTTTCCAACTCTAAGATTTACCCAATACAATTTAAACTTCTTATTATGTAGAAAACCAAGAACATAATGGATCGAATAGGAACCGTCTCTGCTTTTTCCAATTTCATTTACTGAAATATTTTTTACCTTTCTGAAGCTTAAAGGTCCTATATGTAAAGAATCCATGTTGTTCTCTGGATCTCCTTCCCATTGTCTATTTACTATCCAAGTACACTCCTACCTGCTACGATGTTGACGTAATTCCTGTCTGGCCACAGTGGAAACTGTAATAATATACCATATGTCTTCAGTTCAGTTTCCACTGTGACCAGGCTAATAGCTGTACATGTTTTTCAAGCTGCCCTCAGAAGCTACACAGCAGCGATCAAAGGTGTTTTTTATGTTATGAATATTTCATCTATCACAACCTTTGTTAGATTAAATTAGTGTGGTGGTTTTTTTTTTTCCATTTTGTTTTTGTTTTCTACTTCTAATTCTAAAATGACCTTCTATGACCCTTTACAACTCAGGATGATATAGGGCAGTAAGTTGCAGTCAGAATATAACCATGGGCATCTGGGTGTTTAGTAATAACGAGGTATTTATATTTATTGGTAGCATGGGCAAGTACTGCTCCAGTTTGCTGTTTGTATTTGGTTTGTATTTTTAGAGAATTGAGAATTTCTTTGAAATATGAATATGTATTTTTTTTTTTTTACTCCTTTGAAGTTACATCCTGTCTGTGGGTCTGGAGTGTGGGAGGATTGCTCTGTACAAATGGAAGCTACTGACAGATCCATCTGCAGGAACAGACTGGATTAAATGTGGAGAGATGGATGAATTGTATCCTTTTCCTAATGTCATCTTATTTTAAAATGTATTTTAAGCAGTTATAAGATGCGCACGTTGTGCAGTTTTGTCAAGACATCAAAGCCAATAAGGCTTTTAAGATTGCAGTCTCAAATCTTTTTTTATTCCGTTTCCTGTTTATTTCCATGTTCAGACAGCAACCTATTTGTCAGCTCGCAGTCGAAAATGTTCCAGAAGCAGAAGGTGTTCAGAGAATCTCTGCTTTTTTATCTAAGAAGAGAGTTCATATCTTTCAATGGCCCAGTCAAAGTACTTCAGTGTGGATCATTGTCCTGCTAAAATTTCTATTTATGACCCAGTTTTAGATTCTTTGGTGACTCAAGTAGATTTTCCCTTATAATTCACCTTCTTCAGCCTTCATTTCTTCAAGATACTTTGCATCCCTGCTATTGAGAGGTATCCCCATAACATGATGCTTTTACCAGTATTTGTGGTGGTTGGGATGGTGTTGACTGAGTGATGTGCTGTTGTGGGCTACACCACAAATGTAGACTAAAAGTTCAATTATCGTCTCATCTAACCATAAAATCCTCTGCCACATGTCTGCAGTATATCTCATACAATAATTAAGATGAGTCTTTTTCAGTAAAGGCTTCTTTCTTGCGCCACAGAGGCCAGCTTAGGTGGGGACTGGGAAATTGACAGTGTATGAACAGTGACTTCCATCTTATGGTTTGCGAAAATCTATGTTCAGTACATCTCCAATGTCACTTTTGGCTTCACAATGGTATCCCTAACCAGTCTGCTGCTTACCTGGCTGCTCAGTTTGTAAGGGCAGTCTGATTTAGTGCGTTTCTGAGTGGCATGTACATTCTGCTTCTTAATTATTGATTTTATTGACTCTGAACTGTTTGATGGAGGTATCAAATGCTATCTCAAGCATCATTGCAGAATAACCCATTAATGCTTGTTTGAGTTCATATATGGTTTCTGAGAAGACCATGCGATATGGATAACATCAGCATCGTTATCAAACTATTGGGTGACCACAATTGCATGGTAGATGGGGGCTTTGTCATCCTGGAAAACACCGTTCCTGGCAGGAGAGTAAAGCTGCAACATGGGGTAGAGATGATCACTCAGTATCGTAAAGAAGTAATTAGCATTAACCTTGCCTTCTAATGGAATGAGTGCTTCCCAATTCATGCCAGTGAAAAGTTCTCCACACCGTTCCGGAGCCACCAGATCCCTTCACCAGTCAAGTGTTGAGGGACGTAGAGTTCTTTAGGTTGGTGCCACACGAGTACTTGTATGTGTGTCAAGAACATACTGAGGGATGATTCATCTGGAAGTATCACTTTACTCCACTCTTCAGTAGTCCATTGCTGGGTTTTCAAATCTGCATTCCCAGGGGGTTGAGTGGTTTCTGCACTGTGACCCGGCTGTTGCAGCCTGCACTGTGGAGTTCTTGAGGGGCCACTTTGGATGAAACTGGCTGCTCATACCTTAAGTTAAAAATGTACAGTCAATTGATCAGCAGTTGCTTACCTCTTTCGAAGTGCATGCTGGGATGCTATTTGCTTAATTAACACGAGTTATATCTCTGGAAAAAAAAAAACTTGCTTCAGTGTACTTGGTGCCCTTCATTTGCCCAGGTGTTCTCTTTTGTCCAGTAACTGTTTTTTTTTTGTGCTTCCCTGCTTTTTGTGCTCATACTCAAGATATTGGAATGGCAAGCACTGCCACCAAAAAAACAAACAAACAACACAACTAAGGGTGTGTTCAGCCCCTAAAGGTTTTTCCTGTGAGAAGATAATTTACTTGTGTTCCTTGCAGCAAGCAAGAGTATAATAAGAGATGGAAATGTCTCTGCAATTGCATTTCTTGGACAACATTGCTAACAAGCGCATTCACATTTGTTTTGTATTTTTAGTTTCTATTCAAGAAAAAAGAGGCAGTATGTTTTCTTGGTATCTAAAAATAATGCAATTTCATTTACAATTCCAGTGAGCCTTCAGAACTGGGTGTCTAAATTATTTAACACTATTGTATTATCTTATTCAAACTTATTTTATATCAAGCTTTTATATCAATCTTTTCCCTAGATATTGCTCACTACACCAGATTTAATAATTGAAGACGTAAGATTAAATTTCTAAACCTGTTACATGACTCTCCAATTGCTTTTGGGCCACTATCAGACCAAAGCTAGTGAATCTACCAAGACATTTTGATGAAGACAGTACGATGATTGATGTCAGAAGAAGTATCTTTCTTTCTTGTACTTTCAAAAGAAAAAAAAGAAGGCATCGAGTTTGCATTTTCCTAAATGAGTCTCCATGATCTGTCAATCATACAATTATACTGTCTAAACTGCAGTTAAGTATAGTTTTTGGCCCTATACTTAATTTAGCACCCAGCAAACAAATATGCTCTCTCAGATTATTTAAAATCCTTTGTAAATAGTGAGTGTGATAGACAAATGTATAAAGAAACAATATTAAAAGAAATCATAAGATCTTCATTTGAAAATATTCAATAATGTGCAAACCATGTTCTGAAAAACAAAGATAAAAATGGTAGAGCAGTCAGAGAGTAAAGAGTCTGAAGCATGGAATAAGCTACAGTAAATATACACCAAACAACAGGACATTGATTTCTTGATAAATGCCCATTTGGTAGATGGCCAGTGCACAGATGTCTGCAGTAGCCTAGACGTAAGATGATTAATGTGCAGATATTTATCTGAAGGGAAGCGCTGAGTTTGCCCCCAAAGCACTGTGAAACCAAAATAATGTTTTTCAGCCTGAAAGAACTCCACCCCCCAGTGGATGACAGAAACAGATCAGTAATGTATCAGTCATTACATCATAGAATATCTTATAATTTGTCATCCAACATTTTGTCATGGAACAGCGCTAATGCTTTCTCTTGAAGGAAGAGACGTTTGGATCCAAACATGTAGTATAATGTGAAAACAGGGCTAATTGCATTTCTAAATCAGTATTTTAAAAAAAGGACATCGCAGTTCTTCACAAGATGTCCAGCTTGAAGCTAATGTCTGTCACAGTACTCTGTAAGGATCTACAGAAAACTGAACTCTCCAAGGATATGAAGTTGTTGGGGGAAAAAAGGCGGTGCTTCAAAAGGAAAAGAGAAAACTATTATGCTCGTAGTCAAAGTAAAGAATGTGCAAAAATGTATTTTTCAAACTTTTATAAACTATAACTTTTTTAATTTAATCAATTTAATTGGTAGTTTATTAGCCACCACAGATATACAGAATGGTATTTTCCATGACTGTTTCCGTATTTGTTTTCATAATCACATAGTTTGTATTTCTTAAGCAAATATTAATATTATTATAGCTCAAATCTGAATGCTTCATCAATCCCTTTTTCAGTTTCTTGCGTCTGCTATGGGTGGTGGCATGAAACGGATTCATTCATTTGAAAATGAATCACTGTGTGATAGGACACTTCATTTTGGGTAAATCGGACATCTGCTCCAGCCTGCATTGTGTGTAGTCAGTGTGAAAAGGAACACTTGACCTACACTCCCTGTCTGCTGCACACGGTAAATATTTCAGACGTTATTTACGTGGACTTACACAATTCACATGGTGTGTCTGTTGTGAGCCCTCAGCCAACAGCAATCAAATCCTGGCAACGGCAGAGCAGAGCTAGTGTTATACAAACATTTTTCTCTTTTGTTTAGAGCCTGAGCAGGGTTTTAAAAAAGAGCAGGCTGTTCAGTGCACCTACGTGTAGCTGTTTGAAGAAACCACCCTTTAAATAAAGTGTTCCATCTCTGTTCTTTGGGAGGGCTGCTAATGATTTACAAGTCAAGGTTTAAATGGTATTGGTGCACCATATCATTAGAAAGCCTTATAAAAAAGCCATTTGTTTTGCAATTGGAAGCCCTTGCCAGTTACAGTAGTTAAATTATAACGAGCTCAACCAGCAGTAATTAGTCATTTGCATGTTTTCGCTGTCTCTACCATTTCTTCCACTTACTATGTTTAAAATGATTCTCTGTAATTGAGGGAAAGGTCAAATGTAAAGGTCCTCCTCACACCTAGTATGAGCATCTTAAGATATTCACCCAAGCAATACCCATGCCATAAATTGTATTTTTATTTTTTTCTAACGACCTTTATCATGATCAAAATATGAACAGTATATCTCTGTAAATGCATCACGGTAAGCAACCTTTTATCAGTGGAATTAGAATTAAGAACTTCATTAACTGCATACTGATTACCAATGATGAAGATTTTTAAGAATGAAATCAAGTTTTATAAGAACATCCGTTTCTTGAAAGAAGCCAGGATGTCGGCTTCAACATCATGACAGGGTAGCTCGCTCCATTCTCCCACAACCCTTTGCGTAAAGAAGTGGCTTCTGTTCTCAGTTTTAAATTCACTTCTATTCTGTCCTCATGTTCGTGTTTCACTGTTCATTCTTCTGAAGTCCACAATGCTGTGTTTGTCAGCGTCTTTGGGGAATTTTTAATGTCCGTTTCAGGTCTCCCTTTAGTCTTCTCTACAGTTCAGTTCTTTCAGCCTGTGAGTTGAAGGCATTCCTTTAAGTCCAAAAATGCATCTGGTTTGCTCTTTCTATCAATTAGTAATCAAAACTATCCCCTATAATTAGTGTATAGTTATATATATATACCTATGTACTATAATTTCCTGCTTTCCTAAAATGCCTTTTTGTAGTACTTCCATGTATATTCCCCTGTAATGTATTATGCCGTGGACTTGTCAAAGGAGTGATTTAAATTAAACAGATTTATTTATTGATATTACTAAATCAGTGCAGGCTATTTCATCAGACCTCAGCAACTCTAAACTGCTGAGTAAGGCTCCCTGGTATTTGGATTGCTGAAATTGCTGAAGTGTTTTTTTTTTTCCTTGACTGCCTGATTCCTTGTTCCAGCCAGCGCCATGCCCTGTCAGTCAAGAGGCTCCGCTGGAGACCGGTGGGTGGTAGGGCTGGCCATGCAGATGACACTGGGGACAGCGGGTGGACACAGCTGGCCAGCGCAGGAGCTGACCACTGCATCAAAATATTCAATATCAACATCCGGACTCTTTAGTTGTTGGAGCTCAGTAACTGGAGGAGGAGCATGCAGTCACGCCATACTGTACAACCATACGAGTGTCGCCTGGAAGTGTCACTAAAAGGATTCAGACAGGTGTGAGGTGTAGTGATAGTTGTTCTCTTGTTTGAAGTGTAAATACATTTGGAACTTTCATGTTATCAAAAAAAAACATTTTAAAAAAGAATTCTGAAACTCATTTTGCATTTTTAAATTGAGAAGTCCGTCTAAGAGGGCCAGTGAGAGTGAACCAGTTTTCTAGATTTCTATAGACATGAGTTTGTTTTGGATGGTGAAAGTGGAAATCACAAATGGCAGGAAACGTATACCTTACCTCCGAGTAATACTGCTGTACTTTTAATCAAATACCATCGATGAGGAAATGCTTCAGTATGCCCTATTTTCAGTGGTTGCCTTCCTTGGCCAAAATGAGTTCTGGTGAAACCCTTCAAGAAACTGGTAGTGTTCCTTTACTTTAAATTCTTGCTTTGCCAAAGAGACTAGAAGGACTGACATGGGAATGCTTGGTGCTGCAAGTAGGGGATTAAAATATTCCTCGAAGTTATCAGGGTTATTTAAAACAAATCTCTGAGGACTTTGGTTGCAGATACCTCATAATGGGATTTATGGATTAAAGCTCCCAGTTGCCAATGGGTTATTTGATATGACACTAAAAAGAGAAAACTAACAGCACTTCACTCTCTCCCGTCTCTGATCCTTGTGAATGGGGTAATTTGCATATTGGGAAGAGTCTCATGACAGTTTTATCTGTCCAAGAATTCCTGTGTGCAAACGTGTAGGAATAGCAGAGCTTCCATTACCAAGGATCTTACACTGAATTAAATTGTGTGCTTATTCTGTTTATAGGGTACACATTTGTGGTTTTTTTTTATATTCAGAGAAATGCACAGAATTCACATTCTTGTTGGTTGGTGTGTTTATCAACGAAGAGAATTAGCCTAAAATAGTTGAAGAAATGCAGCTTGTTCAGCTAAATGTTTCTCTCTATTCCATCTGAGGTCTCAATTGCCTCTGTGCTTTACTTGTTAGATTTTTATTTATGTCGGAATAAAATTGATTTTCAAATCCAATAATTATGACGTCTTTAATTCATAATGACCACAGAAAGTTTGAAGTTTTTTTGTTAATTGGTAAATGCCTGTATTTGTAAATGCCTAGAGGGGAGAACATTTCCTTGTAGTCCAAATGGATCATGTGTTGAGGTGTGCTCCTGGATGTTAAGGTACTGGTAGTGGGAGGTCACAGTGAAAAGAAAGATTTATAAGTCAATGTTTTTACTTTCACTTGAGCCCCATCTTTACCCCTAAATGAGGATACAAAAATGCCTGCACAGTTAGAGACAGCTTGGTATTGCAGAGAAGAATTCGCCATCAAGGGAACACTGTACTGATTGAGACTGGACCTAACTTGACTGCAGTACTATAGACATTTATTTGTATGCCTGTCAATGGAAGGATTGAGGAAAATATCTATTTGGAGATTCCTGTTCCAATATATGCATGCCTATGTCAATGCCATTTGTGTGACTGACAAAAGGGGGAAAATGTGTGTATGAAATATGCGTCTTAAAAAAGGGGTATTATGATATCTCAGTTACATAATTCCATTAAATTATAACAAATGTGGAATTTTTAACCTATACATTGTTTTTTTTCCCAGTCATTTTTCTTGTTTTGTATGAATATTTCCAGTGTTATTTTGGAAAATGTAAGTAAAGCAGCATAATTGAAAAGCTGAAGAAAGCTGTGTATGCCCGAACATAAGCTACACATTTACAGCTTTGTGCTGTCTTTTCAAGGACAAAAGCTTATATTCAATGCACATTCTAGTGTAGCACAAATCAAGCCATGGAAACTTGTAAACTTAAGTCATTACTCACTTCCTGCGGTTTAAATACTGTAGACTGTGGTATGTGGTATTCCACCTAACCTTGAGCTGGTGCACTTCATTTAGTATTCGCGGCACACTTATTCTTTTTCACCTTGTCTTCAACGTGGTATTCCCGTTAAATCACTCCCCATGATTGTGATTGTGTCAGTACATGCTTGAATCCTGATAGCATTGCCTCGCTTTACTGTTGGCATTCTGTTTTGTCACCTTCCCGATAAATAGTTTCAAAGATTTTCCTTCTAAAGTGTGACGGCGCATTTTATATTTTAATCATAAAGGCCATTTTATGTTTATTATTTTCATTGATCTCGCTATTGAAATATTAAAAAGAAACTGAAAACCTTTTCCTCACACCCACTGCAAGCTTATAATAATAATAATAATAATAATAATAATAATAATAATTTGTAGTTATTATTAATGGCATGAATTAACACATGAACAGTGCAGGATTTGACCGGTGATTGAAGGTGGCCTGTCTGTTGAAGAAGTTGTCAAGAGGATTAGCAATTCTGTTTCCTAAATAAGCAGACAAGTCCAAGAAAACCAAAAATAAAGCTCTGTGATGAAAAGATAAAGGGATCCTACTTTCCCAGGACCTTCCCATCCAGCTGATCTGTCTGTTATTGCTTTCAGACTGCAGTGTCTGAGGAGTTCCAGTAAGAAATAACCTGCACATCAGCAGAATGGCTTCCCACTGATAGTTGGTGTGTGGTGAGTGTTCTGGCGCACTATGGCTGCTGTCGCATCATCCAGGTGGATGCTGCACCTTTGTGCTGGTGGAGGGGATCCCCATTACCTGTAAGGTGCTTTGAGTGGAGTGTTCAGAAAAGCGCTATATAAGTGTAAGCGATTATTGTTATTGTTAATGGCAGTAGCTTGTCATCTACATGAAAATGATTGGTGTTCTTAAATGGCAACAGGGGTAACTTGCTGATATCTGTGAGATACAATTGCTACATTCTGTGGGTCAGAGAACCTCTGAAGGTGTATGAGAGAGGGATGGCATAGTCCTCTTGGTGGATCTGATGGAAGTCAATGTATGCAGAGGAATGCTACATAGTGTTACATGGTTTGAGTCAATTAGTGGAGTGGTGGAAGTGTGATGGTGTGGGGAGGAACCTTCATTAACACAAAAACCCCTGTGGTGCAGTTTGAGAGCACCCTTACTGCTCACTGACGCATTGACTTTTGAGTCAGTAGTTTCTCACTCCGGTAGGAATATCCAGCAGTAAAGTTTTCAGGATGATGTGAGACCATGTAGCGTTAAGGTTATAATAGCATATCTTCAAGAAAACAGTGTTGATGTCTTGCTGTGGTCCGCTTTTTCTCTGGATCGCAGTCCTACAGGACACTGTATGTGGGACTAACCGGTAAACACAATGAACAGGAGACAATCGTGACTAGACATTCTTTGCTAACTGCCTTCAGAGGTTGAACAGGACTATTTGGCAACGCTGCCAAACAGTGTTTTTTTAATGGTCAGGAAGGTCTTATTTGATGTTCTTACTTTGTTTTCATTTTGACAGCATCGTGTTTTACACTGGACAGGTACAGTATTGTGTGTTTGTGGCTTTCTTCTTGTTCACATTTCCTGTAATTTTCCTGTTAGATGTCCAAGTTGAAGCTATTTGACGAAAACCATTAAATCTGAGTGTTGCATTTCATTTGTGCTGTAGTTAAACATTTTTTTTTGTTTCTCTTTATGCATAAAATAATGCTTGAAATGGTCAACCTAAAAAAAAAAGATGGGAAAGCAGAGTTGAGCAGCGGGTTGGATCACCTCTTAAAGCAATACCAGAATAACACTTGTCACACTGTATTATCACCACAACTACCCAGAGATGCATAAGCCACCTCCTCTGCCCAGGAGTGTTGGGCCCAGGAAGATGCAGTTGCATATCTCCTTTTGATTGCAACATCTTCCATTTTGCATTGTTCCGTCTTTGTGAACCTTGCATTCAAGATGTACAGTAAAAGGCATATTTCAGTCCTGACATTCTTAAACATCGGTTCTATGATTTCTTCCTTTTTCTTTCTGTGAAGCACCTTAATGGTCTTTGTATGTTCATGGGGTTCTATCGAATGATAAAATGTAAGTATTGATCTGCCTCATTCACACTTTTTTGTGCCTTCCACTGAAATGTAACAATGTTTTTCCACTGACTTAGCTGCCTGTTCAATGACCTGTAGCTTTTGTAAAGTTGGTGCCCGTAGCCTAGAGGTTCACTGCTATGTTTTTTCTCGTAATGTTAATGTAACACTTTGAATGGTTTAAACCGCCAGAATAGTTTTTCGTATTAAGTGCTGCTCTTGCTTCAGAGATCTTCACTAGAAGAAAAATTGGTTGACCTTTTGCCAACTGCTCCTCTGGCTTGATTACGAGCTGTTAAATAATTTTTTTAAGGAAAACGAGAAAAAGGTCAAACGTGCAGTGTAAGCCTGATTAACAATAATTAAGGAGCACATCTCACGCTTTTGTCTGTTGTGCTGTCGTTGTATCAGCCATGGGGATCTCTGTTCAAATGGCAGTACCTTAAGTATAGTTTGCAATTTAAAATTTCCATTCAATGTAAAACACCCAAGAAGTATTTTTTTTGCGCAGGCACTATACACTTGTTTTCTTGGGCTTTGCCTTCTGTTATGGAGCAGCTGTCCCTCTGAGATGTCCTTGTTAGTTTTAGATATCTGGAGAAGGGTTTTAAGAATGAGTTAAAGAGAAACATAATTCACAATAACTGTAGAAGAACACTCTTCTGCATTCTGCACCCTCTTGACATTTTCTGCAACTATTTCTCTTCAATCATTCTTAAAGCCTAAGACAAGGACAGCTCAGAGCAGCAGCTGCTCTGTTACACCTGTATACTATACACCTGCTTAATTTCCTTCACAACTTCTACAATCTTTTTTTCAATCCTCCTACTTGGATATCACAGCTTTCCAACTGTCCAAATCTATAGTGGAATCATCAGTATAAATAAGGATAAGCTTTGGTCTTCCGGTACTCTGCAAATTAAATAACCCCAGATGAATCTTTCCCCTGTTGTCTGTGCTGGGCGCTAACCAGTGCCTACCGCCAGGGATTTGCAAACTAACCTTTCAAGAAGAACTTCATTTGAAAGCCATTTGAAAATCTGCATGTGCAATGCCATATGCAGCAGTTATTTGTTCAAATCCATGCTGGCATTTCCTTGGAACCCCGTTTCCATAAAAATGATCCTATACTTTAGTTCTAATCGTTTCCATAGTTTTACATGCAATTGAAAGTCAATACTATTGGTCTCTAAATTACTTGGTTTGGTTTTGGACACTACACAAGCAATTTTCCAATCAATGGATATTACCCCTGTCTTCTGCGATTGTTGGAAGCTAATGAATAACATATCTTGCTTCTTTAAGGTCAGTTGGGAGAATTAGTGCTTTTACCACTTTGGCTTTATTACTGTTTAATATTGAATTTGATCTTCAGTCAGTCTGGGGTACATTGTTGATTGTTTTTTAGTGATCACCTAAAATAAGTGTTTATTTCATACTTCAGCCATTTTTTTCCATTTTCTCTTTGTCATCTCAAATCGACTGTTTCTGTTGCTTTACTTTTGCTATTGTAATACTATTTTACAGTATCTGTATATTCATTTTCTTATTTAAAGTCCTTTTTGTCTTTGCTTTCCATTCAGAATATCTATTTTCTTCAACAGGATCTTGTTCTTTTAAAATATTTTTAGAAAGTGCTGACCTTTCTCTGATCTTTGTTTATGATAACACATTTCATTAGTCTTAATGAGTGCAACGCTTTAGTGTTTATCTCAGAAGGGAAGTGATCTTGTTAACACTTGTTGTCATTCTCTTTGCTTTAAACAGAAGTGTGAAGATTCAGAATCATTTAAAATGATTTAAATGTGGTGTTTCAAACCTACAGTAGTTCTTGAGGGTCTCCATCTAATCTATTCTCCCAGTTAGACAAATGTAAATGTATTTGAATTTTTCCTTACAGTTGATAGCTTAAATATGCAAGTGGATACCGCAGCCCACTAGTCAGATGATAAATACAAGTGTTATAAACTTAGGCCACTTAGTGTCACTCCTTTACTAAGTGCAACTGTAAGCTGATATGTTCACCTGCATTTCACACCAGGGTTAAAGGAAGCTAGAGGAAAACCTCACAAAAAAACACTTATAATTTATACTTGAAGGTGTTTTCAATACTTTGACTATTTATCGTGCGATAGTTAGTTCATTTGTGAAATTTGTCTATTGAATTTCCGAGCTTAGTGTTCATGTCCAGTGTATTTAATAAATAAATAAACATAACATCACTTTATTAACCCTTTACAATTTCTTGCATTAGGAATGATCTTTTCGCATACCCCAGCTTGCTCTCCATGAGACACACAGACAGGGAGAGAGCCAGGGGTCAGAGCGCAGGGTCAGCCATTGTACAGCGCCCCTGGAGCAGTTGGGGTTAAGGGTCTTGCTCAGGAGCCCAACAGAGTAGGATTCCTCTGCCGGCTGTGGGATTTGAGCCGGCAACCTTCCAGCCACAGGCGCAGATCCTTAGCCACAGAGCCACCACTCCGCCCCATTTGTAAGTAAGCCTAGTTTTTAAGGTTGCCATACCTTTATAAATGCTGAAATGATCAGTAAATGATGGGGGGGTGAAAGGAAGTACAAATAAATAAAATCCAATGCATTTTTCAGTATTTTATTCATAAAAACAGATTTTTGCGACAATTTATTAAAAATTGATCTCATGCAGTATAAGGGTACAAGAAAATGTTTGATAATTTACACTTATTTTATTTTGTGTTTTTTTTTTTAATTTTCTGAACAATTCCAGTCTATTATTTAAAGCATTGTATTGTGCACTAAACATCATTTTCAAAAAAGACACTAGTGGGGCACAGCCTCATGTACATGTTTGTTTTTTGTTCTGTTGCGGTATAAAAAAAAGAAACATTGAATAACTAGAGTAGTCTGTTTTATTTTTTTGTGAGGGGTACTCATGTTAGCAGAAAGTAAAAAAAGAAAAGTTCTATATGGGATACAAACTACAGTATCATTAAGACGTATAATGTACTGCATGTTATAAACTTAATAAACTGCACACAGTCAGTATTCACAGACAGGCAACAAACACACACGCTCACCTCCAACACTCCTATATTTCTGATATTTTTTTTGTCCTGCTATCTTAGAATAATATTTCTACAGAGAAATTAGTGTATACATTATATACAGTTATAGTCCTCTTTCTCTTAAGAGATGAAATGGCCTTATTTTCATGATGGACTCTCTAGGATTGTTTGTGTTAAGGAGGCAGGAAAAGATTAATTACACATGGCAGACTGTTTCAGAAGCACAAAACATACTGTATGTGCCAGTAACCACTTTCTAATGCTGGGACATCTCCCTCACCTATCTAGAGGACTGCACATTGTTTCGAAGTAAGATGTAGTATCTAAAATATATATTCATAAAAACTGATTTCATAGAAGTGGATTACAATTTGAATATTACTAAGCTGTGATGACTGTCAACATAGGATATTCCTGAGACTTTAAACTCGGGAAACTGTTTAGATAAAAATGCCTTTAGACACAGTCTGGTTATGAAAGCCACAAGTGTCCCATGCAATGGATTATTGCCAACTGAAAATAGATTCTTGAATTTTGTGATATATTACGATACACAGGACATGCTACTTCTGAAAGATTGTCATCTGTGAAGGTGTCTACAGGTCAATACACCGCACTGTGTCTCCTACAGTCAAATTGTGATTTATTTCCTTGTACCCACAGTGACTATTATGTAATGGAATGTATTGAAATTAATGGTTTTAATTAAATGATATAAAAACCATCTATGTATGTAAGTCACATACATTTTGTTGTTCTTCCAAATGTGTAATGTTTTGCATTTTCCTACATGAAAAATTCAGAGGAAATATGTTACTGTACTTAAAGATTTGAAAACTAAGTAGAAAAAATAGTTTTTTAAATGTTTAAAATCTTTGTAATATCTCCTTTAGAATATTCCCCAGTCAGAATAATAAACAATGGAAATGACTTGGACTTTTCAAGATTTTGTGCAATGTTACTGTTTGGCAACTGAAAACTGGTTGGTTTTGGACATTTCCCAGTGCAATATTTGATTAATCTTAACATGACATGCTCTGCCAATCATATTGAAAATTAAAGTTTTCTGTACATTTTTTAAACATAATTAAAACTCATTAACTTAGCTGGTAATTTTCTTGAGTTCTGGTGTAAAATGAAAAGCAGCCCATTACATTTGTAACACAAGAATAAGCACACACAGTGCTGTGATAGATTGATGGAGGTTATGAAACTGTGGCAGTTGTATGTACTGTAATATATTATAGAACTATCACTGTTTTTATTATACTATACAATAGATACAGATACTGTATATAAGAATGAGTTGCAGATAGCAGCTAGAAGATTGGAGCCATGATTTTGAGCCTAGTTAAACACAGGATAGTAAGTCTGGTAGTATTTTGTGATAGAAATATTAATACATCTTTTTACCCTTTCAGGACAAAAAGGTCCACTACTCTGATTTTCTTCATGAATGTCATGTGTTGTTTTCTGGAAGGAGAAAATAATCACTTTACAAGTTATTAAGTTTATAAAAAGCAAAGAGTACTTACAGTGTGAGCCCTTTAATTACCACAGGTGGGTTTTGATTTTTTATTAGAGAAGGTTTGAGAATAAGTAATTTTTCTCCTTTCGGAAAACTGATTTTTTTAAACTAGGGAATTTTTTCTCTCAGTTTTATCAAGTCTGTATCTATGGACAATAGTACTTAGAAAATGCCTTCATAATGTCTGTGGAATTATCACAAAAACCAAGATGAGCATACCATTTCTCCTTCATTCCTGAGTGTCTGAAGAAGAGAGTGTCTTGTAAAGATTCTTCAACTGCATTAAATATTTAAAAATACTTTATCAAAAATCATTACTGTTGGATAAATCACCTTGATTTGAGATATTCAAAACCTTCTGCTTTCTCTCGTTTCCAGAAATGTTGGAATAATAAACAAAATTATATTTATTTTCTGAATCTGTTCAGTCAGATCCATCTTTTATTCCTTGGTAAAGCATGTAGGTGTCATAAAGCTCAAAATGCATCAACAACAGAACATCTTTGAAGAAGATTTTATATAACTTTATATGTTAGAAGCATGAAAAACAGTGTTTCTTTGTCTTTAATCATTTTGCGTGGAGGTTTTTGTAGAAGCACTTGAATGTAGCATATTTTAGTCATGAGGGTCTGGGAAGAACATTTATAGCTTAATTTTTTGTCTTTTTCTTCAAAAACATAATTATTTAGAAAAAATATTTTCCCTTAAATACATGAGATTTGAAGTTACCTGTTGGATATATGCCCTTGCTTTTGTGCAGAACCAGCAATTTTGATGATCTTCCCCAGGGTGCAAAGAAAATTCTCTCATAACATTAGCTAAGTATACTGTATATTGTCACTTTTTCTTAACTACTAATATTATTATAATGCTCATGATGTTTTAACTTATTGGCTCAAAAACAGGCACTTGATTACTCACAAATGTTTGTCCTACTGGTATGCGACATTGGTCGTTTACATTTAATTTTAAGAAATATTTAGAAATTCAGTACAGAAAGATGTTTTGTTCTTAATAGATATTTGTATCAACACCAAACCACCAGTAAACATACACGAAAAAAAGAAAACAAAATTGACCAGATTGTAATATATGTTGTACTACACAAATAATCTTGCAATGCTGTTATTTCCTGATAGCTGAATTGAAATTTGGGGTCACTGGCAAACAGACATTGCTTTCAACACGACAGGAATTGTTAAAATGTATTTTTTTTGTTATTGAAATGCTGAAAGTTTGTTCTACACTAAATCCAAGACAGCAAAGGCAAGAAAAAAAATGTAGCGAAAAAAGTGATTGAATAATATATCAACCTAAACATATGTACTGTATTGTTGGTTTTCACTTCACAGAATAGAATAGTTTTACAGTAAATGAGAGATATGAGCAGCACTAGTTAGTGAACACTCAATTTTCCCTTCACGTGTTAAATCAATACTTTCAACAAGATTAGACACTTGCATGTAGTCTGAAACATACAGAAATGTTGGGGGGTATTTATTTCTTGATTGCTTTAAGCATCTCGAATGGTACTGGGGAGGGGGGGGAGGGATATTGGCAAATTTTGAGATGTAACGCCCATACACCCAACTTTTAACCTTGTTTGTTTCTCGTACGCTTTATACACCCAACACAAAAGCGGTGAGAAACAGGAGCTCTGGGACCAACTCAGTCTCATCTCTGTAGAAACTATTCATCCACAGAGTTTTACACTTTAGAAAAGAGGTATGTGAATTGTGAATGCAAATGTGCCCTTGGCCACACAACTACATTTATGCTAGCTGCTCATCTCAAGCAACTTGGAGACCTGGCGTTTGTTCTGTTTCGGAAGACTGTCTTCAGTCTGTATTTCAGCAAGAGTCACTTTAAGTGAACCTCTGATTGGCAGTAATGCATACAGAAGTGGTATTTGTGTGTGTATATATATATGCACAGACACACAAACATATGTATATATATATCCTCCTCGTGGACTTCAGTGTTTCTTTGTCATTTAATAAAATGAATGTGGTATTTCTGGTAGACTTGTGGTGGAGACTGCAGTATTTGCTGCTCTTCAGGAATAGTTTGACAAGAAAGCTAGTCACAGTTTTTTTCCCCCATACATGAAAGCAGAAATGACCTTACTATAGGATCTCCACGACTACCTGAGGTTCCTATAAGAATGCTTTGTTTTTTATGTTTTTATTGGGAGGGGGGGGTGAGGGTGGCACAATCACAGAAACGTGGAAAACAGTTTGTGCATACTGTATTACAGCAGATGACACAAGAATTGACCCTTGATTAGAGTTTGACGTGCAGAAGCTGCAATAACTGTGGATTCAGAAGTCCCGATTATTTCAAGCGTGTGAGATACCGTTCAATTTCACAATCATTACATACCATGAGCCAATGCTTTTTGTATGCCTTAATAGAACCTGATCAGCTTCAGTCACTGTATATACAGTATCACACAAATTAATTACATAAGGTCTTCACTTTCAGCTTTTAGGATCTGAATATCTGATTGTTAGCCCCACAATAGTGCCAATTTTTTAGTGTACCCACAGTAAGTAGACTAGGTCTGCTATTTACAGATTCCACCGTGGCTTCTGTCACCCATATTTCAGGTCTGGAATCCGTCCTCTTTCTGCTTCCTTAACAAAACTCCAGGCATTTAGCATTTAGTAAAATACTCAAGTTTGACAAGTTCACACATGGCCAAGTATATGACAAAGGAAACAAACATAAAAAAAACCTTTAAGCAGATAAGGCTACAGGTCAGGATGGGTCCTCTTCCCCCTCCCCCGCTGCAGTTTGTCAGGAGACTGTGGGTCAGGACCCCCTGTGGCTGCTGGCCCTTGATGTCAGTCCCTCAGTGATTGGAGCATGTGTTGAGTTGAGAGTACTGGGTCGTGTACACAGTCCCTTTTTTGCTGACTACAATATCAGTCCAATAACGACAGGTAGCTTCTTCCTCGTTTTCTTGCCCTGCTGTGGTTCACAGGCCAGAGACCATGACCCTGTAGGATGGCGGCACATGTCTGTGCCGGGGACTGGCACTTGGGCTCACAGAAGGACTGGCACAGCTGGCATCCACCCCTCCTATGGAGGGCAAGTAGGCATGGTGCAAAATGGGCAGCTGCAAGGACAGTCGACGTTGTATGCTGAGAAAGGGAACAGAGACCCATACAGACAGGTTAGGAGAGTGCGTACAGAGGACGTCTTACGGTCTCAAATGTTGCAACTTTGAATCAATTTTTTTTCGGTCGGTGCGAGACAGGCTGTCTGGGGTGTGACGTTTTGACAGAGTACAACAACAAGACAAATTTCTAATGACTTTCCCATTTGAAATCCACAAGAGCAGGATGTTTTAATGTACAGTAAATGGTTCCTGTGGAGAAAGAATCAAAGCAGCTCACTTGGTTCGAATGCAAACAATCTTTTTTCCAAAGAGGGTAAGACCCTTTCTGCACAAAGTTAAAGCAAAAGTTATTTTGTCAGCAATACTCTTTGTTACTTTGTGGGATTCTGCCTTGGGAGCTCAGGAAATCGAAACCCGCAGAAAAGTGTTTACCTAAGAGAAGGCCGAGTGTTATTTTATATCTGACCATGAAAAATATTTTCCTTCAGTTGGATATCTTGGTTTTGTCAAGCAATGTAGGCTTCTAGTAATCTCAATAAAGTCTTCTCAAATGACTTAGCTTGGCTGAATGTTTGGCAGAAATCTGCTTCAGACATGACCACTGGTGACAATTACACAGTGCCTTGCAAAAATCTTCACACCCTAATTTAGCAAAAGGGGGAATACTTATGCAGTCATAGTGCAGTTAGTGTTTGGTGGCATTTAATTTTGTTCACATCTAAAACTGTTCAGGCTTAGTGTTCAGGTTTTGTTTTATTATAATTAAAAAAAAATGAACATTAAAAATATTATACGTAATTTGTAATTCAATAAAATGGGACATAAGTTGGCCCCATCTTCCAGAAATACGCCTACCTGTAATAAACATTATGACAGTAAAGCAATCACAGTGTTAGTGAAGTACAGTTTATAACAGTAACAGTAAATCCATCTACTTTCTAACTGCTCTATCCAATACAGGGACACAAGGGAACTGGAGTCTTTCCCAGAAAGCAATGGGAGCCATGCAGGATATACCCAGGTTGGGACGCCAGCCCTTCAAAGGGCACACAATGACAGAAGCCAACCAATTAACCTACAGTACCAGTATGTCTTTGGAAGGTGGGAGGAGACCCACATGAACAGAAGGAGAACATACAAACTCTGCGCAGAAAGCACCCCAGGTCCAGAATTGAACCCAGGGCTCCAGTGTTGTGAGACACCAATACAAACTACTGTGCTACTATGCTGCCTACTTCAATAAATCAACATTTGCAATATCAGATTGAATCATTAAATTCCATGTGAAAACATATGCTTGACAAACATAAGTTTGACAAACCATTGATATACTAAGGCTTTTCTCTACACTCGCAGAATTTGTAATTAAAAGAAAGCCGAACCATGTGCTCGTCTGCTTTGAGACTCCTGTATATACACTTCTGTGCAAACACACTTCTCTCCTGCTTTAATGTTAATTTATGTGAAATTGACCTTTAAAAAAGCAATAATCTTCGATCTTTCCATAAATCCTTGTTTTTGGTTTTTCTATTGCAAACTGTTTTTACAGGACTAAATCTAGATTAGATACTCCCTCATATGAAGTATTTGCTCTGAATCCTGCATTCTGTGCTGTTTCCCGATATGTAAATACAAAAAGCACTCTAAAATATCCTAACTCCATGAATGGTGGATACGTAACTATAAACTGGCAGTGAAAAAAAAAAAATATGTGAAAGTACAGATAGGCAGAGGTTTCTAACTAAAGTTGGTTAAACTGATGACTACCTCACTTCAAATCAGTTATATACTCAAAGAATATCAAAAGGTACGATACTAATACAGTAATATTAACAAACAAATGTAAATTAAAAATATACAATTCCCTAGATATTTACCATTTGCTTGCAGATGAGCAGTGCTAAAAATCTATTCTGGGTCTGTGGATCAGCACAATACACACCTTATTTTTGTACGGCAGCTCACAGATCTCTCTGGCAAACCAATTAAAATCCATTTATGTAAAATTAAATGAGAAAATATACAAATATTTGAAGGAATGTTTTGATGAGAGAGCTTCGCTTGCAATGATGTGGAAGCAACATTTCCAGAAACAAGTTTTTTTTTGTTTGGCTGTTTGGGAACAAACAATATTTACTGTCTTTGCTTATTTTAGCATTGAGGCTAACACAGACATTGAGGTATCGCAGCTCTTGGAATCATTTTAACATAAAGATAGCAATAAATTTGTGAATCGAGAACGATTTTATGCACCATTTTTATCTGGATTTCAGTATGCACACAGGTGTACAGTACAGCTAAAACACAAATTCATGTTGTTCCTTTTCAATTCAGGGTTGTGTTCCAGTAACTTCCTTTCTATTTAATGTGTTTGCATTTATGCTGTTTCATGAGTTTTGCCCTGTCAGGTCTTTACTTTAAAGTCCGATTCTTTCCTTAGAAGCTGTGGAGGAACACTTTAAAAATAAAACCAGTTTTATAAAAGGCAGAGAAGACTTTTGTGGAAATCATCTCTCAGTGAAATGTGGTAAGATTCACTACAACCTTAGATGATTACTGAACAGAAAGGATATTAAGTACTGTATGTGCTTTTTTAAAATCAAATTATTATTTATTTTGAAAAGGCTAGAACAACACAGGACACTTTACAGAAAATACAGGAATGGCTCATATTCTATTTTTACCACTTGATTTCCTATCATTTCCTCAAATCCTTGTTTCTATGTTGTTCCCACCAACGGCAGGTTTTTACTTTATTAGTCTATTAATGAATTTTCAATTCTTTCCAATATTGAAAATACTCAATACTCCATGTATTGGATAATTTCTCCTTGATCTTCTCTGTTCAGGACAAAGGTGATTCAGCTCTTTAAATGTGTTTGTAAGATGTCACCCCAAACTAAACGTGAGCTGGACCCACTTATACAAATGTTATCTTTATTGTAAAATTGGTTAATAAGCTTTCTGGGCTGTTTTGGTTAAACAGTAATAGGTAGAGGCTGTAAAAGTCAAAAAAAGTTATTTAAATTAACCAAAAATATTCTGTAAAAATTGCAAGGATTTCAGTGTGTAATGTAATAAACCCCATTACACCCAATGGGGTAATCATATCGATTAACAGGGTGCACCACATTGATTGCCAGCATGCTCTATTAGGTTGGCCCTATACTGTGCTGCTTTTCATGTGTTCAAATATTCATGCTAAGGGAATTGCTCTGGGAACTCCTCCACTCCACTCTCAGTCTATTTTAAGGCTTCTTCAATAGTTACAATATAAATCACTGGTTATATAAGCACTCTCTGAGCTCATTTATGTTAAAGTGAGACCATTCTCGATGATGTGTGAAAACTCATCTCTTACATACAAGTAAAGAGACACCCTTTCTCTCATGAACTCTAAAAAAACACATTAATTCTCTGCAATTTTAAAGAAAACGTTGGAAATACAAGAGCATTTTGCAGAAGTGACTACTCATTTTTGCAAGAAACTTGCATTGTCTGGGTGAGGTTATTAGTTTTTAGCACTTCTTCAGAGCACTGGTGTAAAATCAGGGTAAGGGAGAGAATTGGTTGTTGTGGTGGTATGGATGAATATTGATTATTCACAAGAAATTGCTAAGGAGGCATGAACAGGGTTAGTCTGCGGTGGCTGGATTGGCTATTATGGAGTGGTGATCCTAAATTCCTACTTAAAAAAACAGTATCTCATCATTTATACATATCTCCATGTATCTAATAATGGGAATATCATTTTAACTTGGATGATCAGGGGATGAGGCCATTTTAGCTGTTGACAGAAGCTGCTTGGTTCCAAAATGGCTGACAGGGACATGACAAATGTTTGGAGTTTGATATTAGTTAAATATTTTCTTTGTTGTAGCTCTTGTTTGTATTCAGTTTTCCCGTATTTGATTCAGGCCTATATACCATAAGCAATATTGCTTGGGAAACATTGCTAACACAAAAAGAACTCTTGTGAAATTGAGGTGAACTCCCAAATGATATTTGACAGTTTGAAGTTCTGTGTGTTTAGAAAACAAAAGCAGAAAGTGTAAAGGAGCAGCTGTCTCTCTGAACTTGCCCCATTTGCAGTGGGGAAATAGGTCTGTGCATCTACATGGCAGTTAAGTGCAAGCATTTGCACGATGTTGCCACAGATCAACATAATGGATGTACCGTCACGATACAGTATGTCCCTGTGGTTATTAGCTAGGTTAGATCAGTCCCTCAATTCTCAGAGTCTCCCCGATTACTTGTTTAAGTGGATAGAGTCGGCACTTAAGTGAGCACTGAAGTTTTTGTGCTTGCTTGTTGACGTAGTTGGTTAGACTAGTTTCTTGGTTAGGGGTTATTAGTACAATAGTGCAAACTGTTAGTAGCAGAAGCACTCATAGTGCTGCTAACAGATACTGTACTCCATGGCTTAAGGAGAGACTATATTTTCCCAGAGGTTTGATGGAATGGGTTATGGATATTTTTAGTTGGGCATTAAACATGTGAGGGAAGAAGACCCTGGGTTGCTCACTTTCCAGGGAACTGGTTTGCCGAATTGGGAAAGGAGGTGGGAACTGTTAGGTGAAAGTCGCATCAGCAGTCGCTCAAGTGGGCCTGACGGTTCCCCATTAGGTTTTGACAAAGCGAAAACCAGGTAAGAGAGCAAAGAAAATTCCGGCAAACTGACTTCTGCAATGTCAAGGATGCCATGGTTGCTTACAGGGAGGTGCTCCTGGCTAATCTGCTGGGAAGGTGAAAACTAAAAGGAGTTAAAGAAGTACTAAGTGAGAAAAGTATGGAGAAGAGTTTTCTCTTCCATAAAAGGAGATGAATGTATTCATTACAAATACTAGAGCCATCACTGCTTCAGGTCCTCCTGTAACGTACACTAGCACTGGTAAAAAGGGAAGCAGTAGCAAGGAGAATTACAGAAACGAAATGCAGTTAGCAATACACCGTTGAATGAGCAGGTGCCCTGCCACAAAAGAAGAGTACATCAGTCATTCTCAGTTACCTGTCATCATGAAGGTAAATAAAGAGCTTTATATTCATTGGAAGAAACATTCCTAGATGCATTTATGTAATTCAAATAGTGTTATTGAGAAAAATCCTATAATGGACCTTATGTGTATTTTTTTTACCAGAACTTTTAGGAACATCAGTCAGAAATCTTGTGAAAGAAGTCTCTCTCCTGGCAAGAATTGACGAATATGATGAAATTGAGCACAACACACACAGGACTCCAACTCTTAAGGCACATGATATGTACATACATAAAAACCAGTTTCCTAATTTAACAATCCAAGGTGAATCTGGACACCATTCATGAATGTACATGCAAAAACAAACAAAAAATAATAATGATAGTAGCAGAAGTATCTGCTGTTAAAGAACAGTTTGGAAAATATCCCTTTTTTCAGATGGTGGTGGTATAAAAATAGGATATTCTAAAAGCTACTTACTGTTCTGGTGAATTGATGTCTTCTAAAGGACCTTTGTTTGTTCTGGAAGGATCCACGGAGCCCCACTGTGCTTGTGGCTTCTGTTCATGGTGATTTTTCAAGATGGATTTGTCCCCTTCTGCATAGACACAAGATGAATTTTACATTTCAAGCGCCTTGCTAGTCTAATTGTAATTGTGCAATACCACCCCATTAACCTAACATTTTCACTAGTTTCACAGAGAATGTATATTGATACGTAGAACATAGAATGATGACTATTTCAGAAATTGGGCTAAGATAACTTAGAGTTACAATGTTAACAAAGGTTAGAAAAATCAACGTCAAATGTTATCAGATCGCTTGAATCAAGACAATAACAGGTGAAAAGGTCACAATACAGCCTCAAGAAGGATTACATAAATGATCAGCATCCTTCTGGAGTCAGGTGCTATTGTCAAGCCCTATCTTCAAATTAAAGCTTAAAATGAAACAATGTTTTCTTAATGAAATGCTGTCCTATTTTACGCTTGTTTTAAGCAGATCCCCACAAAAGTCACCGAAGCTTTAAACATTAAAGACCATTAACAGCTTTTAATTCCTTTCTAGGTATGGAATCAATGTGTCCTTGATGAATTTAGTGCTTCTTAGAGGGTTTTGGAAGGTGCAAATCCTATATAAATTAGAGTTGTAAATACATTGGTACCTACAAAACAATTTAATTGTCTGTCATTCCAAGATAATTTAGAGACCTTTCCAGCAGAGACAAAAGTTGTGAAAATAAGGAATTTTACATTTTCACATACTTATAATGTACTTATAATGGAATACTGTCACACTGTGTGTCAAATACCAGCTTGAGCTAGAAGTCAAAGAGCTAATATTAAAACAATTACATCAATTTTACATTAACAACATGTACCAACCCAGGACAGGATATTTCAGGAAAATATTGAACATGTCTGTTAATGGGCATAAATGTGAAACCGAGCTCAATCAATTTGCCAAAGCAAGTGAGAGTGTGACTTTTTAAAACGCAAACTAATTGGAAACTGTGTACAGGAAAATGAGTCCTTCTCTCTTCCGATTGCATCTTGAATAAGATTTAATATTGGCTTGTCACTACAGCAGGGAAATTTTCTTCAAAGACAAGTTTCTGCTTGTCTTGACAGGGTGCGATAAGACTGTTTGATGTATCTTGGCAGGAAATTAAATGAACAATGGTATAAATGCTTTACGAAGCTGCTAATCATTTGCCCCTGAAAAATGTGACAGTGTTTGACTCCTGAAGAGAGACCCGTCATGGCTCCTGCTGATGGCTTTCACAGTGGCAAGTGTTAATACCAGGCTAAGCCTTGGAGCTGAGGGGAACCTGCCTTTAATCCTGACAGGTTTTATTGACTCACCTAACTGAAAGGGAAACTAACACAAATTGTCAAAAGTACAGGACCCTAAAAGCTTTCCAGGTATGGGCCGAAGTATCTACCTGAAAAGGTCTGTGTAATGTCAGCTTTCAAAATTAGAATTGACCATTTTTACACACTGCTAAGATAATGTAAACATAATCAGAAGCTGCAATATATGTACTGTATGTTATGAGCATCAACAATTTACACAAAGCCTCCACTATGATTTTCTAGTATCCTAAGAACTTTGACAGCTATTAATACAGTGTTTGGACATAAAGAAGTGCATAATATTAAAATTACGGGGCGGAGCGGATGCTCTGTGGCTCAGGATCTGCGCCTGTGGTTGGAAGGTTGCCGGTTCAAATCCCACAACTGGTAGAGGAATCCTACTCTGTTGGGCCCCTGAGCAAGGCCCTTGACCCCAACTGCTAGGGGTGCCGTACAATGGCTGACCCTGCGCTCTGACCCCAAGATTCTCTCCCTGTGTCTGTGTGTCTCATGGAGAGCAAGCTGGGGTATGTGAAAATATAATTCCTAATGCAAGAAATTGTAAAGGGTTATTAAAGTGATATTATTATTATTATAATAACATACCATGACATGAGTAAGAAAAAAAAATAACATCAGGGTTTAACTGACATATATCATCATTTAGGGGAGGGGAAGGTTTCACATCTTTTGCTATTTTGTTCTGTTTTATGATTACGTCAAACCAAAAGCAGGACACAGAATTTTACTGACAAGTCTTCGCTTAGGAAATGTCAAAGCTCAATCAGTGGGAACGATTCCAGATTCCCAAATGGAAAGTGTCTCCCACCTTCATCACCTCCAACCATTCCTGCCATTTCCATTTGATGATAACACAATGTAAAAAAATACAAACCTGACATTATAGCAAAAAATAAAACAAAAAGAGTTTTGGAAAGGTCAAAAAAGGTGGAAAGGTCAAGGATATACAGTAACTGATGTTAACAGAGAAAATAAATTATTGATGGTCAATTTCTGACTCCAGTATTTTCTGTTTATCAGCGTAGCTTTTCTGTATTCTGAAGCATTCCAAAAAAGACCTGTATCATATTCGTCTTGTGGAGCCACCAGCAAAAGATTCTGTATTATTTTTCAGAATGTATTTGTTCAAACTTTTTCAAACTACACAAATCCACAAATTTCATGAATATTTTCACACTCTCCCAACTAGGAGGAATCACTTTAATTGATATCATAACTCGCATAGTCCATGAAGCCATTCCTTTTGGAAAAGAACTGATTCTCATTCTCATTCCTCTTTTTGTGGATAGACCTCTATCAAAGTTATTCACAAGTACTAATGGACACAATTAAAGTAATGCAAAAGACCTAAGGATACCATTACACTACGTAATGTATTTTTAAAAAAGATGTGGCTAAGAAATTAGCAATACAGGACTCAGAAACACAGTTCCTTCTATATTTTTATATTAATACAAAACTCACAAAATTGACAAGACACTTAAGATCAACCCTAAACGATCACTAAAACATTTTCAATTATATCATGACAGAGAAAGTCAATTTGACAAGGGGACAACTCAGCAAGGAAATCAAGGAGACCTTGAAAAAAATGTTTTGGCCATAAATATTTGACAATAAGCTGAAACTACCCCGTTTCGGAGACATGCTGTTATCAAATTAAGCTGTGACTTTGCTAAGTTACCACATCCTACATTATATAAATGACGTTTTAACCTTCAATGAAGATGCAGTTTGACATATGTTCTCCACAGCCTGTTGGACAGCTTCCAGATAGAGTAAATATGAAGCAGCAAGGCAGGGCAACTTAAAAGACAGGGAAACTATCTCCCTAGTGACCTGCTTTTTCATTGCGTTTGACTTAAGCCTTCCTCAGTCACATGCAGATCCGTACACATCAGACATTGGTCACAGACGCTTAATGCCAAGCTCTCATTTTAATTTGTCCTGTTTCAGTTCAGCACGGATATCCTGCCTGAGGTACCCTTTCAACCTGTTTTTTTTCTTTTCTGCAATTCTCTTTCGTTTGCCTCGCACTGAAACTCGCAGCAATATAAAGAGCAGTGTGTCTGTACATAGTAAATAATTAAAAGTTGCACTTTGTTCAGTGGGATGCTCTGGGCTGGAAAGCAGTAGGCAGCACCAGCATGAACTCTCCTCTCCAACAGGGCTATAGCCTGCTAATTATTTTCCATTTCCTCCAGTGCACCACACTCTCTTTTTATGTCCAGCAGTGACAGAAATATAATACACAAACACTGATAAATGATGAATGTTTGAGTGAGCAAGAGGAAATGCCCCTAAGGTTTACAGTGCTTTTAAATGCCACATAGGTTATCTGGCACAGGGTTTCGTAGTTTCTGTGCTCTCTATCACTTTAGTAATCTCCTCCCTCCGGAACAGGTGCTTTCTTAATTTCATAGCACATAGTGAGTGACTCGTGGAGCAACGCTTTATTTTAAAGAGCCTCTTTATGATGAATATATCGATGCATCAACAACAAAGGACACAGGGGCAAAATGTCAATCTCACAGCCATGGGTGTCTTGTCACCTAGAATGTTTACTGCATATTGAAGCGAACACAAAAAAACCCGCAAAAAGAATTATGCTCAAGCTTTTTAACAAAAGCTCTCTAATAAGACATCATTTAGAATATTGCGTTCAGTTTCAGGTACCATGAACAAAAATTGTAATCTTCAAGAGTTCAAAGAATAACTAAAAGAATTATTCTTGATTTCAGGGAATTGCCACATTAGTATGGGCAAGACAAGACACAGTATGTATGAGAGGAGAGTTTAGCCAATGCATAAAATCTTCAGTCTTAAGTTGTTCCCTGGAAACTATTTAAGACTCAGTAACCTAACAAGAGTATAGGGTCACAAATGGAAACTGAAAGTAATTCCTTGCATTTGTATGATACTTTTCCTCTGAGTGCCCCAAACTATCTTATGTATAGTAGGGAACCATATTCGTTCACTATTGAACCTCCGAAGTTACACTGAGGTCTGCCCCAGCAATCTCATTACATAAAGTGAAGTGGACAACGTTGTTTCACTTGTTGAATTAAAGGGGAACTGCATGTAGACTGAACTGCACAAGCCCAAAGTGAAATATGGATTATTCAGAATTAGGCAGGACAGTGAGTTTAACACCCATCCTCATAGAAACAGTGCCATAGGACCACGTAGTCATAACCTCAGTTTAACATTTCACCTGAAGGCTAGCTACATATTTTAAAATGGTGTTAGCAGGCAGATGCCTTGTCACACAATTTCTTAAGAAGCAAAAGACATACAGTAAGTACTCAAGGACTCGTTTTACTATGTACAGTATGGCATGTTGTTGTGAAGATGTTCAAAGTAATTATCGGAATAAATGAGAATATTTACACAAGTCTACTAAATAATTCCTGCTTAGATACACAATCTGTACTGGATAATACCACTAAAGCTTACATTAATTGAAATCATATCTTTTTCTTTCCAAATATCATTGGACAGTAGACAAGAGCTTTGAAAATCCAAGATTTGTTGTGCATAAAGTAGGTGTCTTGTTATATTGTACAGCGTTTGATGTTTCCAGAGAAATCCATGCCCTATTGTAACGTATTTCTTGTAAAGACCTTGTATTTGAATGCCCCCACAATATTTCTCTTTCAACAAATGACAGATTTACAAATGCCGTCATGACACCCAGGGGATTGGACCAGCACAGACTTTAAATTAATAACGTGATGGTGTTTGAACACCATCTGGCTGTGAATGATAGAATAACTGTATTGGTGCTTTCTACCTCTATAGTTCAGAAATTGATTCAGAAAAAAAGATTGGTTGATTGAGAAGAAGCAGCTTTATTAATTTCTCCTTTACCAGTAGGGCTCCTCTTTGAAGTCACCATCATTCCGAAGAAAAGACTAAGAAGGATAAGCTTCCTCTTTAACAGCACAATCACCTCCTTGCCTTTGTTTAAAATTCATCCAGTCTCATATCTAAATAAACTACTTCAAGTTAGCTATTTTTAGGTCTCCTCTAACAACTCAGTGCTGGCCTTACCTTTTCCATCTGTGTAGTTACGTATGCTGAGAATGTTGTTGATATCTTGATAGTGGTTCTGCTTGATGTAGGGCGTCTTTTCTGGCGTGTCCTGTAGCTGCATGGTTACCTCCTCCAGCTCCTTGTCAAGCTAAAAATAAAACCGTGAGAATATTCAGTGTGAAAATGGTATACAGGACATGGAAGCAGTGGGAAGATGGATGTGAAGAGGAGCTACGCTTGTGATGAGAATGACAAATTTCCTCCACAGATTCAAGCCACTGCCAGGATCAGAGGAAAGTGGATGAAAGTACTTAGTGCTTTGGTAAGCTGTTACTATTAAATGTCTGAGTTCTGTATCCACTGCCGAGTCTAAACACCTGCCTCTTGTAGGTGAAAATTCAGATTCTTGTTTTGTGATTAATCCTTTCATCTTTATTTGAGACAGCTTTAAATATCTTAAAATCATACATATGCCATGATGGCGAGTTATTCAGATATTGGTTTGCAGGGGATTTCCTTTTCATTCATTCATTCTGTAGCTTGTATGAAAACATGACTGGAATCAATAAGTGAATGTACAAAAGCATCTGCATTACACTGTTCCTACGGTAGATGAAGACATCGAAAGTTACTTTTTAAATCATTTTAGAACATGGCATAGGAAGAACAGTACATGCTTATTAAATAACATAAACATGTATTTGCTATACATCTGACCTGATATGAAAATAAGGAATCTTTTTATATAAATCTGGGTTGTGTAAACAAGTAGTGTATGCTATTAAAGAACAATAGTGAGCTGAAGACAGCACACTTCACTGTTCCCTAACACTGAACATATTCTGATTTTCCCCTACATTCAGGTGTCTTCAGGCAATCACATTTTCTGACTGCTATAATAAACTGACATAGCAGGGGAACACCAAATAAGGACACATAATATGAATCCTCAATTTTATTCTCCAACATTTCATAAATGTTGCATTTCTCTACAGCCTTTGGCACTGATGGATCCCATTAGGGCATACTGGTAACTGGTGAACTCATAAAGCAGGGGTATCTAACTCATTTGTTATGGTGGGCCAGATTTCATTTAAATGTATTTCAAGTGGGTCATGCAAACCACAGATGATCAAAATACTAGGCACAGCCATTACATACTGTAGTGTTATTTGTCGTGTTTTGCATTTTTTGTGTTCTTGAAGAAAAGACTGCTCTTTGAAAAGGAGTTACTTATTGTGTTACACATTTTGGCTTTCCATTCATTTCTATGGAGAGATATACATTTCTCCACTTCTCTTGAACTAGATTTCTTTTTATAATTATAAGGCCCTTTTTACTGTGTTCACAAATATCCTTTTTAGATAATAAATAAACACTAGGTATTGTTTCACTGATACTGATGGTGGTTCTGACGCTGAGCTTACTTCACATTTTGCAGGAACAGTCTGTAGGAAATGGGTGCAAAGGTCTTATATCTTTCATGCAAAGACATGCCCCAGTCATACTAGTTCTGTGACATCAGGAGGATTGCGATTGCATAGATTTAGAGAACTACAGTGAGTGCTTTTGGAAGACTGATTCAGTAACATCACAAAGAGTATCTGCTTAATGTGTGGGCTAAGCAGACTCAAACAAACTGTTACTTGAAACCTGGTTGGTTTCTGTTACCACAAGTGCCATTCACGGGCAGTTAGTAGTAGAGTAGAGGGGTTTCTCGCCACAAGTACATGCACGTTGGAATTCTTATTCACGTTGATCTCTTGGGACACGCACAGTACAGCAGACAACACCACACAATGCAGACAGTACATTACAAACATAATAAATAATAACAACAGGACCAATAGATATGTTGTGGGACAAGAATTATGCAGTGATTAAAAAAATAACATTTTAGATCATGAAAGAAGTGCATGGTGCAGATGTGTATTGATTCTGGGGCATCACATTGTTGGGGATAGAAGCTGTTCTTGAGTCTAGTGGTCCTTGCTTCAATATTGCGGTATCGTTGCCAGAGTACGGGGGGAGAACAGTCTTTGGCCGGGATAGTTGGAATCCCAAATGATGGATTGGGCTTTATTGCGACAGTGGATGGTGTGAATCCTCTGTAGCATTCCCACAGCTCTGTGTAGTGCATCTCTGTCATGCATTGTAGTATTGTTGTACCACACAGTGATACCACTAGTGAGGACACTTTCTGTGGTGCTGTGGTAAGAGTTCATGAAGAACTGCTTCCCCAAACCGCATTTCTTTAAGCACCTCAGAAAGTGCTGTTGTGCCCTTTTCAGGCTGGCTACAGTGTTGTGAGACCAAGCCAAGCCGGTGGAGATCGGCAGGCCGAGAAACCTGAAGCATCCTGATGTGTGCCGTATGTTTGTCATGAAGTCTATTAGGAATGTTTTACGCATTATAAAGCAATGTTGAGTGGGTGCAAAAGAATAACACAATAATGTAATGAAGACAATAAATTCAGTTACTTTAACAATAGAAGAAAACACTGTCCCATTACATAATTGCAAACGTGTTTCTATGGTTTCAAATAAAAATGACAGAAATATGTAGACATTGGAGAACAAATAAAAAATGACACAGAACAGTGTGGACATTGTAGGAGATTAATTAATGCGCTCCTCTGTTGCTAAGGAATACAAGTGTATTTCTGTATTCGCTTATGTGTTAAATGTTGTTTTCACAAAAATGTGATATGACACTGAATGCATGAGGGGTTGATGGTGGAAAAAAATAGTCACTCACTGTAACATGTTTCAGAAACATTTTCAGAGAAGCACTAGAACATACATATTTTAAAGGATCTAAAGCTTATATAAACTGCTTGTTTTTTTTTTACTCATATAATTCTAAACTTTTCTGAGTTTAGTGGACTGAAGACAAACTGGAACATCTTGTCAAAGTCAAATCTACCAATTAATGGACAGGACTCAGAGAATGTAGACTCAGCATTGCCAATATTCACAACAGCCACCCAGTTTGGGTGAGTCCATCCAGCTGTTTTTTTACTTCAGTTGTGACATTTATACTTAGAAGTTTGTCCCTGCACACTTTTTGTTTATAGGTTGCTGCAGTTTCTGCAATGCAAACAATTGCTTTTATGCCAATGAGTTTTACCACAACTCAAAAAGATACTGTTATAGTTTCAATACAATCTGTGATATATTATGGCAGCCTACTTCTGTAGAAACCAGGTGTACATGTTCTGCAAGACAATGACTGTGCATTATTCATTGGTTTTAGTTGAACTGAATTCTATATTTAAATACTTTAAGCAGTTTTTAGCAGTTTCTATAGAACAATCTTTTGAACAATTAAGAACTTAACTTATATTAACTGTTTCCTCCCAACAAAGCTGCTTCGTGTGGAGTTATCTTATAAAATATTAATTTAAATATGAAACATTTCACATCTGGATGCTTCCTGTGCACTGCATTTTTTTAAAAAAAGAAAGTAACCTCTGTTATCCTCATCCTTAACCGGTGGTTGTCTGTTTGCAGTCCATCTAACCGAGATGTGTTGGCCTGGTTGACACTGGTAACAGAAGTCGAAGTCTTTGAATCCTCTTTCTTCTGGTTCTGGGTAAACTGGAACCTCCTGTTCTGAGTGGCAGCATCTGGATTTGTCCGCAATGTTATTAGCTATAGTGGGAAAAGGAGAAAAAAGATGTCTTCAACTATTTGTTAATAATATAATTTTTATTAGTAGCGTAGTGTACTGCTGCACGTTTACATGCCCCTTAGAAATTTCCATTGAGTGTTTGTTACAAATGCTATCTTTTAAAACAACAAAAAGTGTTGCATATCCAATTGTTTTGTCCAGAATCATATATTTGCAGTTGTTGAGGGTCTGGTTCAAATTCACATACTACAGAGCTGGGACACCGGCTATATCACCCTGCAGCTCACAACTGGCAACCCACTGAAGCCAAGCAGGTGTGAGCCTGGCCAGTACCTGGACAGGAGACCTCCTGGGAAAAACTAAGGTTGCTGCTGGAAGTGGTGTTAGTGGAGCCAGCAGGGGGCGCTCACGGATGAGATGTAAAACTGAGGTCCTGACTCTCTGTGGTTATTAAAAAAACATCCCAGGGTATTTCTCAAAAAGAGAAGAGGTGTTACCCCGGTGTCCCAGCCAAATTTCCCATTGGCCTTTACCAATCATGGTCTCCTAATAATCCCCCTCTATGAATTGGCTTCATCACTCTGTTCTCCTCCCCACTGATAGCTGACGTGTGGAGAGCGTTCTGGCACACTATGGCTGCCGTCGCATCATCCAGGTCGGGCCGCACATTGGTGGTAGTGGAGGGGAGTCCCCATTACCTGTAAAGCGCTTTGAGTGGAGTGTCCAGAAAAGTGCTATATAGTGTGAGCAATTGTTATTATTATATCTGATTTTGTGAAAAAAACAAAGGTTGTTAAATAATTAATTGTATTTTGCATACGGTATATCATTGTCTTGTAAAGCAGAAACAGAACTAAAGCCTGGCAACAAAAAAAACAGGTAACTAGGTGGTCCCAAATGAATAAAGTGGAATTGTTCAGTTTGTCATTAACAGAATAAAAAAAACAGGTTGAGATGTTATTGCACTTACTTTTGGCACAAACACTAAGCACAGCGTAATAGTACTGCAGAAGATGATGACAAGAGCCACTATGCAGAACTGCACATTGGGTTGGTCACGCGTCAGGAATGAGACTGCTGCTCCGATGATACACATGATTCCCACGTTGTATACACTCATTCCGATGTACTTGCTGTCGTTCAAGGCAGGGATGCTTACATTTCTCGTCTCCCAGGCCAAAAAACACCCAAATAACTGGTAGAAACACAAAATATCAGTGAGCACGATTGGAAAAAATAAGTTATCTTCGTGATGATATGAAGGACACATATTGATTTGGAAGTCAAGTTACAATTTTATCCATAATATACTGTTGGGAAAACCAAAAAAGCTCTGAGATTTCCATTCAAATGAAGTCTCAGAAATGTACACATGGTTTAAAAATATACAGACTGTATAGGGTCTGCTTTACCAGTGCATCTTCCAGTCCAGTACAGCAGTGTAATGGACTGAACATAAAAAGACTGTAGTGGAAGCTTCCACATTGCTTGAGAATTTAATAAGAGAAAATGCAAGTACTGTGAATTCGTTATGAAGCCTCCTACTGAGGTTAAAATGTACAAATGGCTTTGAAAGACGTCTGTCAACAGGATAATAAAATAATTTTCAGTTAAACACCGCCTTAAGTGAATCCCACCGTGATTAGGGGAAATTATGAAATTCATTCTGCAGCTTGGTTTATAATGATTCAGTGGCTTCCAGGCATGTGTGTCCAAGTTTATTTTAAGACTAGTATTCCCTTGACTGCTGCTGGAATGGTAACCTGAATTATTTACAGTTTAAGTTAATTGGCTCTGCATATTTCAAGTATACTTCTGACACACTTTGAGAGATGTCACATTTTTAAATTAATTTAGAGTCACCAATCGTGTCTCTATGTTTTGGGTTACAGTGACACCACCTGTACCATCACAATGAGAATGAGGATCTGCAGACAAGGTTCTCTGACCCACTCTACCCACTGATTAATTTTCCTATTTTGGCATTCTATAAACTGTGCATTGACTATTAAATGTTAGTCTGAGGAGAGGCGCGTCCCTCACTGATATCACCAGTAGCCTTTAGGCACACTGGGGTCACAATTTGGCTAACTGAGGGCAGTCAATCAATTGTGCACAGTTGGCTAGTACAGTAACTTCACTCAAATTTACAAAGTCTCGAATTTAGAGCCCACTCTTCAGTTGGAGTGAGAGCTTTTACTTCTTGAGAAACTGAGGAGGCCCCCAGAGGATGACGTATTACATCGGAAAGTCGTGTTTGAGTAAAAACTTGAGACTATGTACAAGTGAAAAGGAACAAAAAATGTTTTTACAATATGTTCACAAGAATGACTTTTAAACAACTAAGTATTTTTGGTCTAGTATGACAGTATTTGTGGTATGTTAAATAATCTAAGGCAGAACAGGAAGAATTAGTTATGAAGCATATTTGTTCTAGATTGTTACACTATTCATTGATTATATTTTAACAATGATGTGCAATGCACTTTCCAATGCCTTGCTTAGTATGCTATATTCTTTATTAGTGGTAATAAATGGACAGTTTATGTGTGTATACTTAGCATTATGTATTTGTGCAGAACTACACTATGAAATTTAACTTATGTTTCAATTGTAAATTTGTCAATTAGAGAAGCTGACATTCTTGAAGCAAAAGGGAATTTAATTGCTAATTGTTTAACAAAAGGAGTCCATTTTCCCTCTTGTACAAAAATAATGATACCAGATGGCAAATCATGCTCTTCTCTGCATGCCTAAGCAGTACTGTACATGGTGAAAGTACAATTTTAATGTATTTACCATGAGTAGCCCTTTATAGGCATAGACGATTCCAAGCCAGATGGTCATATGAGTGTTTTCACAGTGTTCCAGGAATGGACGGATTGCAATATCTCGTCCCTGAGGATCTGCCTGTAAGAGACCAAGAGAAAGGCAAAGAATCAGATGCCACATAAGCCAGTCTGTCACCGCTGAGAAATATAATTCCTATGGTGTTTTTTCTAGGAATTAAAAAGTTAATTTTCCAATTTCCTCTTCTTCTTTATCATGAATCTTTAGAACCTATTTTTGAAATGTATTCATTAAATAATTACTTCTCCTCTGCACTAAAAATATTGTTTTACATCTTTCAAAATCTCATGTATTACCCATTAATGCCAACATACTCATTTGTTGGCTACACAAGCAATGTCAAAGCTTCTGTTTCAAGAAAACAATTTGACACATTCCATAAAAATCCTGCTCACTTTTCATGAGATCTAAATGAAATAAAATTATCATAAAAATCTAAGTAACCATTTTCAACAAATGAATAGCAACAATAGCATACAAAGCTTCCTATAGATATTTTCTACACAGGAATGGTGTCTAGCTCTTTCTTCTTAAAAGAGTTATAATGGAAATAGTTATGAAGAGGTACAAAACCAGGCTGAAAAGTGATGTTAGACCATAGACACAAACATTGAGAGTATGTTCTTAGTTCAATATAAAGTGTTTTCCAAAAGTATTCAGACCCTTCCTATGCTGTCTCATGTTTTGAAAGTATTGAGACACATAAAAAATGGAAAATCCTGCATGTATTAAATGATTCTGACCTGAGAAAAATATTGATACCTGCCTTGTAGGTTGATGAAACCTTTCTAGAAATGACTTCAAAGATGTTAAAAATGGTCACAGATACACAAATCAAATGGAACCAACCACTGAGATTTATAAATACTGTATATGTACTGTCTAAGCTACTCAGCTGGAGAATTCCTTTCAGTTTAAAAGCATCTCTCTGCCCCCTGGTTTTTGCTATGGGGCCTCTGTGGCTGTTTCATTGTCACATCATCATTTTCTAATGTTCCATCTGCGTCTTGTGTTGTTTTTAAAGCAGTCAAAATGCACTGTGTGAAATGAAATGGTCTAGGAACGCACTTCTGCTCTAGGCTTAGAGAGTGTAATCACAGAGAACTCGCTAATGACTAAATGTGTGGTAATAATTCATGCTGCCATGCTGTTCGAATAGTTTTCTGTAGAAAAATGTCTTTGCTTGGATGTGTGAACACTTAATTGCTTAAACCGCAACAAATGAGATGCATCCTAGAAACATTTTGCCTGTGATATTCTACCACAAATTGTGCGACTTGAGCTCTACATGGCACTGAAAGATTTGTGGCCTTTCACAGACAATATCTTGCTACATTCGTGAAGTGATTTAACCCTGATAAAGCTTATGGATCATTGGTTCTAATCATGGGAGGCCTCTGTTATATCCTTGACCAAGTTACCCGGGTGAAAATGCTCTAGTAAATTGCTATATTACCTGCTCCAAATTGTCTTCAATAAGAATTTCTAAATTTACAAATTTGTTAATGAACATTTCTTTTCAATTAACTTATCTAATTAAATAAAGGAAGACAATAATTCTTAACAAACTGATCCAGTAAGACAGACTTTTTCAATAACTGTATGACAGAGCAATCAGTGTTGGTCATCCTTGTTGCTTCCTCTACTCAGATTAATTATGATAAGTAATTTCACCCCATTAAAGGAAACTACAGATATCGGATACATTACCAACTTTACAGACTACCCAGTGTTGGGATGTTATTAGGTGGTCAACCTGACAACTTTTTATTAGGTTAATAATTTTAGTCGATTGATATTACCAACTCATCTAACTCAAAATACCACCATGCTAGCACAACTTTATGCCACAAAGATGACTAAAATTTTTATCACGAAGTGTAATCTATAATGGGACTAAATAGTAGGCTTCAAGAGTTGCTGGTTATCTACAGTATATCACCAAGCTCAGACATTAAACTAATCAAGAAAAATATATAATGTCAGGTTAATAACTGAAGTGAAGTTCTCATCCAGCTGTTTTTAAATGAAGCCCCTGCTTCAAAAACATGACAAGGTTGCCCATTCTAGATTTCCACAACCCTTTGTACGGAATAATCCTTTATTTGACGAGATAAATCAATTGAGAACAAATTCTCAATTACAATCATGACCTGTTGGAGAGTGCTCTGATATGCAGCAGGACATATATTTTACTGGATGAATATTGAGATAAATGTGTAAAAGGATATAACAGATGCTTTAGGAAACCTCCGGGCAAGTTTTCACTGTGAATTGTAATAATTAATTGCGTTGTGTATACTTATTATTTCTTCCTTAGAACCAAAGGTACAGCAATGCTGATTGAATGGGTGTTGGAAAGTTCTGTTTCCTCTACAAGAAGAGGAAAATGACTAAAAAGATTGGCAACTACAGTGCAGTATCCTTAGTATTATTTTTCAGATGTTTGATATGTTTTGTCCTTGTATTTTCATTAAAGGTTCTTCACCTGAAATAGTAGAATACAATAAATAATTTGAGGCTTTTTGCACCCACTTCACAAACGTAATACACTTAGATACTGTAATACTGCCACTGAACAAAGATTTGTTCACTCCTTCAGGTCCATACGGCACAGCTAAATAATTATACATTATGTGATCCCACTCATTAAAAAATGTGTGCTAAAGATTTGTAGCAATAGCTGCTAATGGTTTCTTGTCACCTACTGTACGTGTGGGCATACAGAGATATGGTATTCAGCGAGAAAGTTTAAATCATTTAACTGCTATTGATCACAGTTTTAGTTTCTTTAATGAGATAGTGTTACATTCCACAACACCAAAGACCACCAGGGAAAAGCAGCTTTTTTCATCACAGCTGCTTCAAATGAATTATCTGTATAATCAGAGAGTCACAAGGCGTTTTAAGACTTTTCTCAGGGGAAAGCTTTTTCTACCATCTAGCCTTCATCGAGCCTCATTTTACCTGCAAATTTATTTTTTGACAAATAAAACATGTATTTCAAAATATGTTCCTCTACTACTTTTCTAAATACCAGTTAGACAACAATTACAGTACCACTAGTGAACTTAGCTGCCCTTAAATTGTTTCTCCACACATCACCTTACCTACAGTATTAAGTGGGCAGCATTATTACTGATTGCCCAGAAAATTATTCTTTTAATGGAACCCCTCTTTCAGTCAGATATTAAGCTCTTTAAAAAGTGCTTGCTTTGACTCATAGGATAAAAACAGAGATGACTTATGTAGTGTATTGAGGTTTGGTAGAAAACCCTGTGATGAAAACTGTGATGCAGTCATGTTTAAATAAGGTGACCTAGGAACCAGTCGTCTTACCAATCCTACAGTACCTACTGTAAAGATGTGTTACCAGAAGGAGTTGAACAGATGCCTTGAGACAGCTGCTCTGCATCAACCTAGTGCTATAAAAAGCTCGGGATTAACAAAAAGAAACTTGCCTTAAAGGCAAAGGAAGCGTGTTCTTTTACATGTGAAAATGTCCTATGCAATAGACTACACATATAAAAACTGGAACAATTCAATGCTTATTCTTGTTTTGTGGGGGGGAGAAACAGAAAGGGAGATATTGCAACTTTTGTATCAGATAGGACACCATGTAAGATACAATTTCATTCCATTCTGACGTAAAAACAAATAGACTTTGGACACTTTACCAAATATTCTTCATTCTAACGTTCTGGTTCTGATGTAAATCATGTTCATGTGTACTGGCTTGCAAATAACAAAAAGTGTGACTACTTCTGCACATTAGTAAAGTCTTTAATCTAAATATACAGTATGTGGTTTAAATGGACATGCACATTAGTAGAACTATTATTTTACAGGATGTTTCCCGTAAATCTGTTTGTTGGTTAGAGTATTTTGCAGTCAAGATGACCACATTCCTGTTTTTTTTGGGTGATCAATGTAAGGAAACAAAATTAATGATAAACATTCTTAACTGTTAACAGATATTTAGTCATATAAGGTACTTCAACATCCATGGATTCTTTTATTAGTCCTTATTTGAAAATGAAACCGACACTTTTGATTAAGGAGTCATTTTTTTGCCTACAACAGATTTTAATTCTATTAGAGGAAGCAGAAACAATCTAGGACAAGCAACAGACGGAGCAGTATCCTAATGGAATATTGTGGGAACCACCTGGTGTGAGAGAAGATAAATATAGTAGCTTCTAAACTCCATGATATGAAGTTCTTTGATGTCAAACTGTTAGCCAACCTCCAGATTTCTTCTGGTGAACTGAAGACATTTGGTTGCTGTGGTTATATGTATTTTTGTGCTTCTTTAAATTCTATCCTATTACAATCTGCATTGTAATTTGAAATAAATCATGTTTATGTAGTTGTATTGTACAGTAGATTTGCTTCCATGCTATAATGATATAATTGAAGGTTTCACCAAACTTTTCTTAAAACTTTCAATTATAAATACTTATTACTTATAAATACTAAATACTAAATACTTATTATAAATACAAAACCAGAATTACAGAATGACAAAATACATGTATACAGTTTAAAACACATATTTGTATTGCTGTTTTTAAAAGCACACTGCAATTTCTAGTACTTATTTGATAGATATTGTGATATTGTTAAAATTTGACATACACAACTGCTTGATTATACCCTTAACATAATCATAACAAAATTACTACAGATTTTACAGAATCCCCTGAAAACAAATGTAGAATATGTTGTCTTTGGAGACAGGTGAAGATTTTTTATTTCAGATTTAGCAGTTGTAATACAAAATTGTACATTCTTAATTACCACTTAATACGGGTTTGTTATGGTTATGGTGGCCCTGACCATAAAGAACCTTTAATTAAAGTATAGTTGTGTCCAAAAACACTACTTTATGGGCTTAGTCATCTAAAAATCGTGCATCCCAACACAATATTACAGTAGGAGCAATATTATCCTTTTAAAATGTTGCAAGAGTTGTTATATTTATCTGCTAGTCATATATGAAATTGAACTAGTTATAATCAAAATGTCCTAATTCTGTTTTGCATTAATAATAGAGTCTA